GCGACACAACAAGGCTCCGATGAAGTCATCCCTTCAGTATCTCCTACCAGCGCGGACAACGCGCGCCCCTCCCTCGCCCCCTCGCACCCGCTGCAGAGTCGTGGACTCCGACGCGCCGAGAGAGAGAGAGCAAGCGGGCGAGAGAGAGAGAGAGCAAGCGAGCGAGCGAGCGAGAGAGAGAAAGAGCGAGCGAGAGCGAGAGAGAGAAAGAGCGAGCGAGAGCGAGAGCCGAGCACGGCCGAGAACAGCCGAAGCGGTGGCGACCATGTGGCGATAGCACGATGATAGAGGCACTGTCAGTGTCACTGCGACTGTCGTCCGACGCGGTCGCGCGTGAAAATTTGACGTCGCGCTCGCCATTGAATTCTTTTCGCGTCCCTCTTTTTTTGTTGTCTTCTTCTTCCTCCCTCCCGCTTTCCCCTCTCTCTCTGTCTCGCCTCGTTCTCGGGGACGGCCTATCGAATTCGCCGCAAGGTCGACAACGGTGGCGACGTTTTCTCGCACGCGCTCACGCGTGACGTCAAAACGATTGTCAGAAAACGCGCAGGGAACGTGCCTCGCTTGGTTTCTGTGAAAGGAAACACGATCGGCTCGAGTTAGGCGGCCCAGGGCCCCGACGTTAGTTTCGCGAATCGCACGAGGTCGTCCATCCGCTCTTCGTGCAAGGTGAGTCCGAAAATCATTCCCATTTTAGGTCGTTGCGAAATAAAAGCGCCTCAACGGCGCGTCCTTGCGCGACTCGATTTGCTACTGCGCTCTTGGTCGAGCACCGATAATGAAGCTTATTCTCGTACGTTTAGCGGAGGCTTTCGATCGCGGGACGAATTCAATTCCGAATCGTTGCAACTCGCCGAGATCCCATCGAGATAGCGATTCGCTCTCGGCCGTCGTCATTTTGCGCTTCGCGATCGCGGCGGAAAATTATCGCGTGTACCGGGAAATTCCAAGCGCGATCGAGCTCTCCGTTTATGCATCGGCGAAAAAGATAATTGTTGCTTGTGTTTTCCGCCGTCTTATCATCTCGCTGTCTCCTCGCTTGCGTTTTCCTCCGCACTTTAGACTCAATTTCGCGCACGTCGTTTATGTAAACACGCTTTTGACTAATTGAATAGCGCATATACGTCTTTCTGTCTCAGCGATTTTTTACGCTTAACCACTTTATAAAGTTTCGCTGGAGCCGCGAGTAATAACATACCGTACTGTAGCATGCGTGAAAAAAAGAATACAATTTGCATAAGAAAATATTTTTCGTTATATTACATTTTTTATTTACATACTTGGCTAGTACTTACGTGCAAAAATTCAATTTTTAATTTTGTTTACGCACGTTATTGATAGAAAAAATTTTTGCTCAATCAGAGTTTATGTATCAGTGTTCGGGGGGCGGAGAAAAAGAGGTAATTGCATATTGAGTTTATACGTCAATATTTTTTTAACAGTGCAGATGTGCGATTCCGCGATGTAACGTTTACTGTCGATTTGAAAAACAGTCGTATGACGACATCGCCACGCTGATTGACGTCACATCACGCTAGATAATCGCAGCGCATAATGACATATCTCACGTACATCTGCGCGACATGTCAAGAGTTACCATGTTATAAACGCTGCAGAAAACATAGCGAAAATTAATTTTCTGGAAAAATTATCTCGCGGGGATGTTCGACTACTTCGAATCGTGACGTTAGCCAACAGTTATGTAGATCTCGGGCAGTTCGACCAGTAATGGTCTTCCGGGAAATCCCAATCGTGCTGTAGAGTATCTGTATTTTTCTGTATATCGCGTAAACAACTATCTCGACACAGTCCCTTTTTATCCTGAACGCGACAACTGAACATCATATTTTTCACACGAATTTAACGCAGCATCTGTCTTTCATTTTCTTTTTTTCGGATATATTTAATATTTTTTCAGTCATCTTTTATTCGTTTTAAAATAATTTTGTGATTTTTTCTCTTTCTCTCTAATTTTCTTTCTTTTTTTTCTTTATTTATGTATTTTTTTCAATTCTGTATTTTAATTTTCATCGCGTAAAATGGTTCAATTTTCTGTCTCTTTCGAGCGATACGCTTTTCTATCTGCACACGTTTGCTATTCGCACGCGCAAAAAATACAGAGGGCCGCGCCGTTGCGATGCATTCGGAACACGGCCGTTATCATGTTTACATTCTTTGTTCTTGACATGCCACTGGCATCGACACGTTCGCGCTTGTTGAAAAAAAAATTGCTCTTTTAACTCGCGGAAACTCACCACACAAACACGTTACACAACGTACGCGCGTATATATTTCCTACAGAAATAATCCATTTATCGGTAGAAAACTTGGAATTTTTCCTCCATCGACGTGAGAGTGATGTGTATGCGTGTGAATTCACTAGCGCGAAATTACGTTACTCGAGTAATAAAAGTGTTTTCCCTTATATGGATAAAAAAGACGGTACACAGGCAGAAAAATACATTTACATTCCACTTATCGCTTCTCATTATCTTTATTGGGAACTTATTAGCGAATTTTTAAGATGGCACACAAAGGCGAACGGAAGCGTTAAAAACAGCAAAAACGGAGGTGAAGATAAAGATTTCCTTTGTTATCCAAGGTTGCAATGGCTTTCGACCGCGCTTTTTCCGGCGATTTCATGGAGCATGCTATTCTGATGCATATAATGGTATATAGTTATTATTTGCCGCGTAATATCTAGTCGCAATAATTAGCCGCGTGTGCGAAGGGTAATGAAAAGAGAAGAAGGAGAAAAAAGAGAATGTTAGACGTACAAATAAATAATATATACGGCATATGCGATTCTCGGTCCATATCGATTTACCAACTTCGTTACGCAACATGTGCTATTATATCAAAATAAGCGTAATCCTTTCTTGGTTGCACGATCTGCAAAAAAACTCGATCCAATAACGGAAATGAGTTTACGTCTAGAATGGATTATATTCTTTGCAGGCATGCATGTTTAAAAATAAATGCAATGTTTTAAAATTACGTTGTTATTTTAAGCGTAGAAGAAAATAGAAATGGAAAATGTCGCAAAAAAATAGAAATGGATAATTTATGAGTGATAAATTTTTTAATATAAAGTTTCGATAAATTTGATCTTAAATTATACAAGTGAAACGTGTCGTCAAAATATCTTGAAAGTTCATTTGTTTTTCCTCAAGCGATCTGAAAAATTCTGAATATCGATGAAAAATTATTAACACATATATGTGCCGCGTATGTTGAATTTTTCTGGTAACATAATATAGGACCAATCTTTCACGTACAATGGTCGTTATAGCGGCGTGTTTAGTGTTGGCGAAGCCTGTGACAGGCTCGGCTGGTCAAACACGCGGATTGTTTATCATAACCTGGTTGCCACGTGTTTTCATATCAAGGCGCGATAAGATGGTTTTAAATATCCATATTATGTTAATACTTTCCCCTGTGAACACAAAAGCGAATAGATTTTTGACGAGATGGAACATATTGATTTTCTGATAAATGTCAATCATGCACGTAAAAATTTTGCATTCTTTTTTATTCTTAATTCTCGAAATTTAAGCAATTTGCAGAAATTTTTATTTTCTTATCCGAGAGAGGAATAATTTTATTATTATATTATAATATTTAAAAAGAATTGTGGCTTTTAATTTTAATAGATTTTATTAAACTTCTTATAATATATAGCGACACTTATAGTATTAAATCAATTTTTAATGAGAGACTGAAGAAGAGAGAGAACAATAAAGTTCGAAAAAATATATATTTCTAAAATAAAACTCGCTATCAACATCACGCACACACGCGGTGCTACATCAACTTCTTAACGACGTGATACAAAGAGCCACATCCTGGAAATGTCCAGCATGATAGATAAACAACTCCATCCAACGTGACGTGACCGTTTTAAGCCTCCGTTTCTTCGCAAGTTTCTTCGCATGAAGAACATAAATCAAAAGAAAGTAGTCTGCATAAGAAAATACTATTTATAATTTGAGAAATATAAATTTTATATTTTTCAAAATTTGTATTTTTTATATAATTTTTTTGAAAGAGATTCATGTCCCTTTTTTAGAACGTTTATTATATTTTTAATATTAATCAATTTTAATATTAATCAAAGATGTCGAGTATACAATTTTTGCGTTAATTGCACGCTAATTATTTAATAAAATTGATAACTAAATATTTGAATGGGATTGTTAGTTGATGTAGTCGAGCAATTTTTTTAGATATGAGTATTTTGTGCGAATATGCGACAAATATCGATAAGTATCGATTATTAATTAACATGTCTTGCTAATCTCTCGAGATTGAAGCGTTTCATGCTTGAGATCGTCGTTTAGGAGAAATCTTTTGGCGCCAATCCAAGTCGACGAATTCGCGGGTGTCGGCATCGACGACAAATGACTTTACACAGGTGTTAAACTTAGAACTCGAACTAATTAAGACTCTCTAAACAGCGGCTGCGTAATAGGGAATTTCGCGAACTGGGAAAACCTCTGATTGGGGGGTCAACGTTGTCAGAAACGCCATGTCATTTTCGAAATTTGCTAAATTATAAATGATTAAACTCCTGTTATAATATTACATGGAACATGCCTGATGATTGATATAATTATGAAACTTATGATCGATATAATTATTATTAAATTGTACATAAAATATAAAACAAATATAATCTAGTCGTGAATGATGATTAATTTTAAAAATAATTACAATTATTTATAGATGTGATGAAAGTATTTTTCTTCTTCAACAATCCGTAATTATATGTAAATTACAATCAATATAATTTTTTCATACAATATTTAAAAATTTTTAGCGAGCGTGATTTTTTTTAGCGGTCAATGGTCCATGCACAAGGCTGCAAATATTATTTCTCCCCACATATTACTTCCCTCTCTCTTTTTCTCATCTCGTGTTCATCGCGGGGCGCACATACTCGAAATTCGAAGGTTATTTTTAGGATTAGTTTCGTCGTCGCGTAAGGCCACGACGAGAGCGGCGTCGACGTCGTTCGCTCAGTATTAAAGAGGCGTCGGTGGAGGACGCAGTGGTGACGACAAACTCTTCGACAAGTGAAGAAACGAGAACTTTTTTTTTATGCCGAGTGCGGTGCGGATATAAGGGAGGGAGGGAGATAAAGATAGGAAAACACACGAAGCGCACACCGACGCCCTAACGATCCCACGAACGAACGATCGACTGAGATATCATTCAATTGTCATTTATTCGCTCGATTCCGACACTTTCTCAATCTCGATTCTCTTATCCTCCTCCTCTCCCATCCTCTCATTTCTTCGCCCTTGACTTTTCCCGAGATCTTCTACCCTCCGCTATATCTCACCTCGTCATATTTTCGACGTCGAACAAACGAACACTGAACGAATAACCGATCTCTCGAGCTATGGCAGCCACCGCCATGGATCCAGTCGACATTGCGAATATACTCGCCCAAGAACTGCTTTATCAGCAGGTAATGATGGAAATTATCTCTCGGAGCACAAATATCTCTCAAATTCCTTCGCAAGACAAATTGCAGATTTTTTAAAAATAAGCGAAAGCGGATAATATATTGAATTATTATCATTAACACATGGAATATTAGAAAGTACACATGGATTACATAAAGCAAGTTAGACTTTAGATGCTTAGACTTGATGGTATTTTTATTCTCCACGGAAAAGATTTCTTTCATTACTTAACGAGATGCAATTTTTGATCCATTTCAATTCCAAGCAATCAGAGAAATTGGAAACTTATTATTTTACTCCCTACGTGTTCTCACTTACGTCTAATATTTATTCTGTAGATGATCGCGACGTATAAAAAATTTATCACATGCGACCTGACAAGTTCTTGGACGCGTTCGACGGGGACGACATTCGATCTCATTGTAATCACGCGGCGCGAATAAAATGGCTCTTTGTCGACTCTACAAAGGCCTCTAAAGATGCAGAGAAGGATCTTCTCGACGATCGTTTCTAATCTGAAAATAAACGCGACGGCTGGCGCACGTTTGAGAAGCGCGATGAGAGAGCGTTCATTCATGGCGCGTTTGATTAATTTCGGCGGCGGGTCGCGGTAGGGCTGTCTTCGGACAAGACGAACCGTCATCGTATTCAGTCTTGAGTCGCCTAATCGCAACTAAACAAACCTACCGGCGAATCCGAATCTATTGGCGCGATTTCTGCGTATTTGCAGGAGAGAAAGCCCGTTTCGGAGCGCATTCGGCCAAGTTCGGCTTATGCGGGATGATGATTGCGATGCGAAGGAGCGGGGAATTGTGCAATATTGTGCAATATCGTTGGAAGTTCCACCCGCCTCGGTGAAACTATCGCAAGCGTATCGTTTACGCGACTATTTGATAGCGATAGTTTGGGAGGAATAATATGAACGTCGAATCCGATCGATTTTGGGGCGAATTTAATTATTTGTATCTGGGTTTTCTCTCTTCTCCATAAACTGTCAGATGATCACTTTGATATTGTTGTAATCTGAATCGTGTAAAAAATGAAACTATATTTAGTACTATTAATTTTTCCCAAAATTATTAAATGTTCACGTATATTGTGATTTGAATTGAGAAATCATTACGTTGTTTTAGTTTTTTAAATTTTGCTCTTTAATGAAACTCGACGATATTTGAGATGGACGAAATGCGATCCAAGTTATTAATTTTCTCAAGAATATCTATCTGGAAATATGTTAAGGACTTGATAAAATTGCAAAACGTTTTCAATTATTATTAGATCTACACACGTGAAGGCCATTAATCTGCACGACAGGACATTTCTAACTAAAATTCTTCTAAAATATCGCCAATTAATCCGACGTTGGCATGGTTACAAATTATAACAGTAATAAATTCTAAGATTTTATTTCACTTTTTCGACTATATGTATATAAAATTATATTTTACATTTAAATTCTGCAGAACAAAGATAATAGGATGGACGATGTATTTATACATATATTCATGCTGAATATTTAATAATATTACATATATCCATGCTGAATATTTAATAATATTACATATATTCATGCTGAATATTTAATAATTTATTAAGTACACATATAATTAAAATTGATATTTAATAAAAAAAGGGAATCGTAAGAGATTGTTTTATCAAAAAAATCTCGGACGCGATAAAATCGCATGATATCGATCGCGCAATTAGTTCTCGGTCTGGAAGCGACGCTCTATTTTCTATGGATCTATTTTCCGTGGTATAGAATTACATCGGCGGCGGTTCTCGCTTTCGCGCGTTTCCCCCCGCGTTTCGGAGCAAATCGAGCAAGGCCCATTATCTGGATGCGCGTTTCGCAACGACTTTCTGGTGGCTGATATCGCCCTTTGTTCGTAGACTCGCAACGCGCGCTCTCAGGGCAGATTAGAGAGAGAACCAGCGAATACGCATTTATTTATAGAATCGCGGACCGCGTGCGCCGTACGTGTCCAGCATACACGTGTGCGTGTGTGTGTGTGTGTGTGTGTGTGTGTGTGCAACGCTCCGCGGAGGAGGAAAACGAAGGAACGAGCGAGCAAGAGTATCGCACAACGGAAGACGCGTGTGCGAGCCAACTAGCTTTGCGAAAAAAAAGCGCGACGTCTCGCTCCGTCGCAGAAGAGAAAATTCTATTAAAGCGCGATTTAGATAGCGATTCGCGAAATTCTCTTCGTTTCGCGTGAAATGAGTGTACAAGTTTTTTTCTTTCATTTTTTAATTATTTTCATTATTATTATTTTTTTTAATTTGCTGATGATAGCGACGGCTCGATCAGCTTGTCGGATGTAAATTTGCATGGATATAGTATTCTATAACTTGAAGCTGACTCTGCCTTAAAAGGAATTTTCATCAGATGTGATATTTTTCTAGATTTTAATATATTTTGAGATATAATAGCTTCTCCAAATTAATATACATTTCATTAATAAAAATATTATTCAAGTGACATTTATTTGTAATTTTTATTCGTAGAAAGATTTTTAAATTTGTTCGAAATTTTATTACTAACGGGATTTTTTAGATTTTGATATGTTTAATATGTAGAGATTTTAAAAAAGAAATTCTTACCTTACTGCCTTTAAATCACATATTGAAATAATAAACTTGTCGAAAGGGACTCTTCGCGTGTAGTACAACAATGATTCACGTGCGTTTAAGTTTAAGAGAAGATTTGTCCACACGTGTAATTTATGCGCATATGACTTATTCGAGCGAAATAATTCCATGATGAATAATACAAGATAATGTGAAGAGGATCACTGAGAATGCTAGAAACTGTCAGTTCAACGACAATCATAAAAATGGAAAGATTTTTCTCTTTTTCTTTCCTTTCCTTCCTCTCTTTCTCTTTTTTTCTACATTAAAAGATGTCTTCATTAATTGTTTCTTCTCTAAAATTGTATTTTTACTAAATTTATTTTTTATTTAGAAAAAAGTAAAGAGAGTGCAAAACCTTCTATTTTTTCTTCTGTCACACGTCAAAAATTACGATCATCCTATCGACACATGTTCAATACCACACCTTTCTCACATGATATTTATTTCATTTTCGGTGATTAGGGAAAGCAAACAGTGTCCAACGATAAGCATATTTGCTTTCGAAATTTTCTCAAGATTTGTCTTCTTGTAATAACTTGTAATCTTTGTCGATATAATCCATTTCTGTGATTGTTGTAAATTTTCTATTGCGTCAAATCATAAGATGCTCGCGTAAAAAAAATATCGCAATAAATTAAATTTTGTAGTTTGGTCGAGATCTGAAAAAGTTGGCTAGTGGGACAATAAAAAAAATGATTAATGACTTTTCGATGTAAGACAACGATTGATTATTGATATAATCATATCATTAATATTAAGTATATCGCGAGAAACAGAATCGAACGACTTTGATCTTTATTAAAAATATATAATTGTAATTATAATATTAATTATTAATATTATAATTACAATTATAATTACAATTATATTTTTCTCGTATAACTATAGGTTTATTGGAATTATATATCATTATAATTATAATATTAATTATTAATATTATAATTATTAATAATTATAATAATAATTATGATATAATTCCAATAAACCTATAGTTATACAATTGATAGAATATATACATACTGTCGCGGTACACCTTTCTAAAGAATCTTACAAGTTTATAATACCCATATCATTACGCGAAATGTCAATAAGACACAATCTGACAAACGAAGAGATATCCTTCGGCTATTAAATTCGAGAAACAATCTCGATCGATCAATCGTCGCGCAATTTCCATAATTCCCAAGATCACCTTCGGCATTTTCTCGCACGGGACGGCGAGAAATTCCAGTGGCCGTGACGCTGCTACGCGCACGGACATGATTCGGTAACGCCTAAGTTTAACGCTCCGGACATTCCTCGAGTTCCCGCGCGATGGTTCGTGATGGGTGAGAGCAGCGTGGCCGGTCGGTGGGTGGCCGAAATCGGCCGTTCGGAGCTACGCTAACATAAGTAATTTTAGCGATGACACTTAAAGCGCCCATTTGCCTACGGTATTTTCCTTCGTCGCGGTGTCTGATCTTCGCCGAATGAGAGATGCATTAATCGATACCGCACACACGACGCGCGCGCACGTACACATCGCGAGAACAGTCTCTTTCTGTCAGCGTGGCCGGTTTTATATTGCTTTATTTTCAAGTTGTTTACAAATTTCGGTGAAAATTAATAGTTTGGAATTTGGCTCGAATAAAATAGAAAATTGATCAAATTCAATCAATTTTGATTAAATTTCAGTAAGAAAATATTGCTCGTATTCTTGATCGACTAGGTATTGAAAAATAGGAAAATATATAATCTTTTTCTTTATTTTCAGTCTCTTTGAAAATTAAAAAAAAAAAACTGATTCTGGCCTTTTTCATCGTATTCGATGAATCGTCCATCTGTCTCTTTCTCTCTCGACATTACGTTATATGGTACAGATTGAGTCGTGCAACCCCGACATTCTTCATCGCCGGGAGGCCGAGACGTCGGAGGCCTTCGTTAACGGCAGGGATGGCGATTTGTAATTTTAGAAATGATAGCGAGCCGCGCGGCGCGTCTCGCTGCGAAAGAGAGAGAGAGAGAGCGAAGGACGCGACTTGTCCTCTCCTTTCTGCGTCCTTTTGTGCTTTCTGGGAAACGCGCAACGCGTATAGATTACGTCCCCGACTGGCGATTGGACGGTGCGATAATGGTGAGACTGTCGCTACGTGAGCTGAGATTCGAGATGCTCGTTAAATATCGTCGTAACCGAAGACCGACTCGAGCGGTCCGCTTCTCTCCTTCTTCCTCTCGCAATGAAATCGCATTCGGTTGACCGCAAATTTTTTCCTCCTTTATCGCAGCGTAATTTGTGCCGCGTAGAAACGGCGCTTTTAATTCGAAGCGAATTATACAGCATTACGTAACGTCGACGCACGTGTTTACCGCGCTTTGCGTCTGTAAATTGCCGCCTAAGGCGAGAAACAACGAGGAAAAGACGCGCGAAAATTTACGCGAATTAATCGCGATACCTTGTCATGATTTCAATAATGATACACGTCCGTGGAATCGTAACTCTAACGATTTATCTGTGACTGCGGCGCGATGATACGTTATCGGCTATTGGATCATGGATATTTTTATCGGCATCTTGGCCAGATTAACTGGCTGATATCGGCTTGGAAAGTGGAAGATAACGATGCCTCTCCTATGTTAGTAGCAGGTTCTTTTTTGCAAACACAAAATCACTTCATCGGAAAATCATATTTCTATGAAAGCTCGTCATCTTCTCTTCTTAGACAAAGGAAATTTCCTCAATTCTCTATCAATTTTTTTGCCGATATTTATGCAAACAATTCGCTTTATTATTTTGTTTTTGATCTAAACGCATAAAGATAGAACTGGATTTTATAATCGATGTTATTAAATGTCATTATTGGAATAATTTTAATATAAAACCAGATTCTCTCTTTTTTTAATTAATTTTATTAGATTTTATAGACAAACACTTCTTCTCTATTTTTAGATATAGAATTCTCTCTCAAGTTTTATGTATAAATAATTCACAATTTCGTCATTTTGTTTGTATAAAAATAAATTTTATAATTAATCTTAATAATCTCATTATTGCAGTTTTAGTATAAAATCAGGTTCTCTTGTTTGTTTCATTTATTACACAGATAAACGTGTTTATAAAGAAAGATTTTAGATATTCTCTTCAATCAACACCTTTGTTATCTCTATGTTACAGTTGGTATCTTTAGACGGATTGCATAGCGGTGTACCGACCAGAACGACGCCGACGTTGACGCCGACCACCCTCCGCAGCATCGAGCAGACGTTCTTGGAGCTGACGAGCGAGTCGGCGACGACGCACGGTCGCGAGGCCGGCTTCGTGCCACCGCTGGTCGAACCGTCACAGCCGACCCCGGCACAGACGCAAAACACGACGGCGGCACATCTTCCGGCACCGACGACGACCACTCTTATCGAGAGCCAGCAACAAACGCAGCCGCAGCAGCAACAGCTAGTTAAGCGCAATATGGGCGGTAGAAAGCCCAACAGAACGGTCGGGATGACCCCCGAGGAAGAGGAGAGGCGACAGATCCGGCGCGAAAGGAACAAGATGGCAGCGGCGAGATGCCGCAAGCGAAGAATGGATCATACCAATGCCCTACTTGAAGTAAGTGTTCATCTATAAACACAAGTGCGCACGATAGTTGCAATATTTCGTCTCGTTCTTAGCGAGAAATATCGCTTCACAAATTATGGATCTCCAGTTGTCAAAATAGCACGAGTGTTTCGTTGGTGAAAATAACAAGAATATTGGTTTTGCAGGAGACCGAGGGTTTGGAACAGAAAAAGCAAAGCTTGCAGGATGAAATAGAACATCTGAATCAGGTCAAGGAAGAATTGGAATATATCTTAGAAACACACAGAGCTGTCTGCCGTCATTCACTGCGCTCTTCGTCCCCGCTAGATGTGAAACCCGTGATAAAGCCTGAGCTTCCGGCTGAGAATCACTTCGCCGAACCCGTCAAGAGCGACACGACAGTGGCAGCAACGAGACCGAACAGACCTAATTCACTGCCGGTCGGGTTGGATAATAACAACAGACTGAATTCTTTGACGATGTTTGCCGAACCCAAAGAGAGACCGGATACGCTTGCTTTTAAAACGGTGGAAACACCGTCCTTTATGAAGCCGTCATTGGACGTGGCTGGTATGCCGATTACCACTCCGACCAGCGGTATACCATTTAACTTTGAATCCCTTATGGAGGGTGGCACCGGTCTCACACCGGTCTCGACGCCTCTGATACCATCGTGCTCGACGCAACAGAGGAACAATCTGTCAGCCGTGGATCTCAGCTCCCCGGATGCGAATCCACCGAAACTCGTGAGCTTGTGACGCCACGATGATATAGCGAACCATGGATCGAACGAGGAGAACGATCCCGAATGAGAATGGAAGTACCATGACGCGAAAAAAGTTTAATTTTTTTAGAAAACAAAAAGAAAAGTAAAAGTGTATGCGCGTGCTCTTTACAACGAAATTTTTCATCGCTCTCAAAAACACTTTCACATGATTTTGCTTGTTAGAAAATGCAGTTTTCAAAGCATTTTATTGTGACAATTTGTCAGCGCTTATAATTTTATGAAATTTGTAAAAAATACGCATTTGTTCTTGTAAAAAAATATATATATAAAAATATAAATTTGTTCTTGGAAAAAGAAATAAAGTAAAAAAAAATTTTGTCATTGAGACAGCGATTATTTTCGTATGATACTCTGCGAGTGCATTGATCTTTGATAGAAAAGAAAAAAAATTTATTACATTTAGATTTTAATGATCCTGGGCATATGCAGTCTCAGTATTTTATCCATGCGATGACAGGCCAATAGACGAGCCAATTTGAAACTTTGTATTGATCTATGATGAGATAATTATTTCCTGTGAAGATAAATTGTAGAAAAATAAGATAATCTGAAAAGAAAGAGCGCCAGATATTTGCGCCCTAAAGAAAATGATCGCAGATTTGCCATCTGCATACAAGTGATATATTTAATGTTTAAAATAATACATTAGGAATATATATATATACATATACATATATATATATATATATATATATATGATATAAAGATTTGTCATTTTGTAAGCAATTCAACAAAAAATGAATGAAATTTTATACTATGATTCTGTACTGAGAATAGAAATTTAGATTGTAAGAAAAAAAAAAGTTTTTAGCTCAAAACCTCTAAATACATTAAGGAATCGTAAGAGCTCTTCGAATTGAGCGCTTAATATTGATCAATAACACAGTTCGCATAATTCAAAGGTATAGTTAATAGAGCGAGAATAAAATTAGATGAATGCGAGAATTCCTATATTTTGTCCAACATTTATAAGCTGATATTTTGTAAACTGGTATATATAAAATGAACGATTACTGTCTCGCTTTTGTGCTATCCGCGTTGATATGAATAAGTTTTTATACGCGACTGTCGGTTTTTCCAGTCAATCTCACATTATAACATTTAATCCCTCCATATGATATAATATATATACATACATATATTTTACGATATATGACATTTTTGCATGATCTTAAGCAATATTAATATATTATGCGCGACTACTAGTGATGTATGGAAGTTGTAATAATAACTATACAATATTTAATTTAATTATATTATATATATATATATATATATATATATATATATATATCTATTATATTAATATATATGTATATATATTTATTATATTAATATATATAAATAATATGTATAATATAATATATAATTTATATATATATATATATATATATATATATATATATATGTTATACATAATTATATGATATATAATAATTTAAATACAGTTAGTGAATGACTACTCCAGCTGATTAATGAAATTTGATTGACAGATTCCCATCATACTTAGTGGTCGCGATTGAGAATTGTATATGGAGATTGTAACGCACCAATGATAATGTTGCAATATATTTTGATTAGATTGAATAAAACGAAATGAAATTGTATTATATGTAATATTTTTTCATTATTTCTTGTAATTACATATTTTAAAATCCTTTAAGTTTCTCAATTGTTTTGTCCTCGACAACGGCGATCATTGGCTGATAATGACTAAATTCCATTGAAAATGTAGCGGTACCCGATGTGATGATTCTCAATGTTGTTGAATATCCTAATAATTCAGATAATGGTGTAAGAGTTTTGATCACCTATAAAATGTAAAATATGAATACCTTGATATCTAGTAATTTAAACAATTATATTTTGTTAGGAACAAGAGGCAAAGAATTATATTCACCTTATTATTGCCACGCATGTCGATTTGCTGTATTTCTGCTCGTCTACGAGCGAGATCAGCATTGATACTCGGGAAATATTCCTCTGACGCAACGATTTCCAATTGCATGATAGGTTCCAGTAACATACTATTTCCACTTTGGAGCAACTATATATATATAAAAATATATTATTTAAATATCTTCAAAAGATATATAGATAATTAAGAATGTTTGATCTTTGTTTATCTGTGTTGACAAGTTTATGAAGATTTAGTTTTTTCCATATTTATGTTATTTATGTCTGTATCTGTATCAATTTCAATTTTCATATACTATGATTGAATTCGTTAGACAAATATATTGTATTATTTTCTAAAAGTAATCGAATAGAAGTTTGAGATAATATCAAACAATAATAGAATTAATTTAATTAAACATTAGAATTAATTTATATATATAATTTTAAATATAGACCCTGACCTTTCGAATACATTGCGAAGCAGCGGCGGAAACTATGGTGTCCGAAGTATTGCGTCCTATCTCTAGCCGGTGCAACTTGACGCCAACATTAATTACCGGACAACTTAACTTGGTGCCGTGCAACAAGGCAGAATCAACTCCATTTTTTATTGCATTTAATACTCGCGGATGAATGCTATTAATATTTGATGCGTTTTCAGGAGATCTATCTAGAAGCAACTTCTTGTTTCCTTCGTAATTGGGAGTCAAGGACATAGTGATATTAACTTGGTGACTTGTCTGGCCTATCCTGTGTTCCATAATTAGCGTATCTTTAACGGCGTCCTGAATCGTTTCTTTATAGGCGATTTGCAAAGGACCTAAATCTACGTCGATTTTATACTCTTTCTTGATTCTCTCTTTAATGATCTCTATATGCAATTCTCCCATTCCCGCGAGAACGATTTGTTCCGTTTCTGGATCATTTCTTACGCGCAGACTAGGATCCTCTCTCTGCAATTCCTCAAGTGCAGTCTCTAAGGCAGACTGCGCTGACAAAGAAGGTGGTTCTATAGAACAGAAAAAGACAGGATCAAGTAGGTTCGCTCCAGATGCGAAGAAATTGTTCACGTAGTCCGGTCGGTTTAAATTTTCCTTTAGCATAGTGTTTTTAGCGCGACTGCCAATGGACATGCTCGTTGTCACCAGGTCGCCTGTGATAGTGCTCTTTAATCCACCTACAGCCGCGATATTGCCAAGCCTTACTTCGGCCACTTCTTCATAATCATCGGCGCAGGCGATGTATAGACGAGTACACTGTTCGCTTTGTTCGCGCGTCATATTATACAGCTTCTGGCCCTTCTTCATACTGCCGGAATAGATTCTGAAGAAGGTGATCGGACCTCTCTGCTTATCATGAACAATTTTGAAGACTCTGGCTGCTAGATTGTTGTCGAAATATTTATATGGATTTAAATGTTTTATATTTGCCGGCGACGGCAGATATAAAATGACGCTATCCATTAGAGGCTGTACTCCTATATTCTTGTAGGAACTCCCCAATATTACAGGCACACCTTTCTTACTTATGGTGATTCTGCGTAACGAATCGACTAATATTTGCGATTGCACATTTTCCAAAGATTCTTGTTCTATAATGATATCAGCTAGTTTATCATCCAAGCCTGATAATCTATCAGTCAATATTCGTCGCTTTTCACTGACTATGTCCCATAGTCTTTTATCGTTTTCGGTTATTTTTGTTTTTATTAGATTGATACCTTGATGTTTCTCATCAAATGTTAACTTTTCCATAGTTATTACATCTATGATACCTTTTAAGACCCCTGCTTCCTTCATGGGAATTTGAATAGGTAGTGTTTCTATGTTTAATTTGGATTCAATAGACTGTAAACTCATGTCAAAGTCAGCATCTGCTCTATCCATTTTGTTAATATAGATTATGCGAGGAATATTGTACCTGTCTGCTTGTCTGGAAACTGTTAGGGTCTGGGCTTCCACACCAGCAGAACCATCTAGAACTATAATTGCACCATCTAATATTTGCAAAGTTTGTTCAACCTCCATGGTAAAATCAATATGACCTGGAGTATCTATCAAATTAAACCGATAATCTTTCCAATTAAATGTAACAGCAGCTGAAGTGATGGTTATCCCACGCTGGCGCTCTTGCTCCATGTAATCAGTTACTGTATTGCCATGATGTACTTCTCCCATATTTCTGATAAGACCAGAATAAAACAACATCCTTTCGGTTGTAGTAGTTTTTCCTAAAAAAAGAAAAAATATATAATCATATATTTAAACAAATCAAATAAATTTTGTTTATAATAGCATAATGGAAATATTAACCAGCATCAATGTGCGCCAATATGCCAATGTTTCGTATTTTTGCAACATTACATTCTTTATCTTTAAGCTCTTCTTTTGAAATAGATGCATTTTTGTGCATGTACCGAGTGCGTAGTTTACACCACGATGTCCTTAATAAATTATTCTTTAACATTTTCTTAATGCTTGCACTCACAGAATTTACAATATTTTATAAATTACTTTCTCTCTGTCCCTATTTGAACATAATCATTTTTTAAGGTTCAATATCTTTTTGTTTTCAAGTTCTGTTCTCTTTATATTTTATTCTTTATATTATTTTCTTTATATTTTACTTGTTGGGAAAAAATTTTTAATAGTATAAATTAAATTTTATTCTATATAAACAATTGCTGTTTTCAAAAAGCAAATGTGTATTTAAAAATCGTCTTTTGTTAATTTTATTAATTTTAAATAATATTATTATTTAAAAGAAAAATTATACACAAATATAATACATTTAATAATATTGTAACCTAAAAGCACTTATATATTATTCGAATCCAAAAAATACATGTGTTAAATTTAGAATTATTGCATTTATTAGATAATCAAAAGAAAGCATCACATTTTTTTCAGCTTTGTAAGATACCTTTTATTTAAATAACATGTAGTGCTTTTTATTTAAAAAACATAAAAGAGACAGAGAGTCACTCAAAAATACACACATCTCTTTCTAATTCTATGGTGATTTTCTATAGGATAAGTCCTAATCTACAATAGTATAATTTAACCCTAAGCTTTAAGAAAATGACCAATCACGATCGAGTATTCTCTTCATACTTGACTGTGATTGGTCAATCTCTTAAGGCTTAAGGCTTAAATTACCTATTGTAGACTCGGCCTTAGATGATCCCTGGAGGCGGTACTCCCTCTGACATTAAAAACGTGAACATGAACTACAACGGGAGCTTTCCAGCAACGACACAGAGCGACACAGCGTATCATTCTATCTTCTTTCAATATCAGTAAACAACAAAGATAGAATGATATTCTGTGTCGCTTTGTGTCGTTGCTGGAAAGCTCCCAAAGCCAATGTCCACGAATGTTCTCAGAGGGTAACATATATATCTCTCTGATAATATAAATGATATAAATAAAAATATAAATAATTTAATTAATAATAATTTATTATATAAAAATATTAGTATGTTTTCTCTTTTCACAATATTATTTATTTATTTATTTGTCTTCGTTTTCTTGTCAACATCATTTATTTATTTATTTATTTAGCTCACTATAAGTCAATCTTTTAAAATGCAAAATTATAGCATAATTATATTAAATATTATAGAATTTGATTTCGGAAAAGCGCGATATTGTATTATACGATATTGTAATATTGTATTATATATAAAGTATTAAGCATAAAAATATTATGCTGGTATAAAAATTATAATAAAAATATATAAATAATGTTGGCTATTAAAATGGAACATATGAATTCTTTATATTTTATATAAAGGAAGAAACATTTAAAATATTTTACAATATCTATATTTTTCGAATCTTAATTATAAAAACTTTAGAAGAATCAGTGATTAATTTGACAAATTCTATATATGTATTAATAATTAAATTTTAAATAATTAAAAAAATGATTAATAAATATCAAAGATCAGTTTACTGCTAATTAAGATTTATAGAAATACGGTTAAAAATATTTTTATTCCACAGCAGGGATTTTGTGTTTTGTAAATAAAAATATATAATATAAATATGGCAATGAATATAGAAAAATATTTATTTCATCTTTGAACATTACAGTATCTTTCGTGATTGAATAATTTATTTATTATCAATTTATTTCAATGTCCATAGAGGGAGTATCGCTTTCAGGGATCACCTAAAAACAGGCCATGACATCTTTCAGTCTTCTCTCTGATATGCGTTTACCTTGATAACGCGCATGTCTGTCAAGCGTCGTGTAAGCTTATTCAGAAAGTCCAGTTAGCGATCATCTGTTCGCGCTCCGAAATTTATAAAAAACTTTGTTTTTTACCCCAATATTCTTGGATTAAAACATTTGCGCGAGCGCCAAATTTTTTTGTCCGTTTGAATATTTTATACTCGCAAATCAAAACGCCTATCGAAAATTTATCATTATTCGTGCATTATTGGCGTGAACGATCGGTCGCACGTGAATCACCGGAAAGATTTGTTAAAAGGAAAAAGCGTAGTAGGCCCAAGGTCCTTATTATGTGCGCGAAAATGGCCTTTCAACATCAGCCGGGTACTGCAATGGAGTGCCTAAGCGTATGTATCCTTAAATTCTGTAGATGTATTATCCTGACATAAACATCTTATTAAGGATACCTCAGGAGCCAAGTCAGGAGCTCACTGTAATGAGTATGGGCTTAGCGAACCTAAGGTACCCGAGCTATTAAGGGGGATATTATTTCTTTTAAATATACAGTTTAATAGGCAGCATTCTTCAAATAGTAATGCTTTTATCATTATTGTTTATTGCATAATATATATTTGTTAATTAATTTCAGATACCAATCACGTTACATAAAGAAACAGAAATTAATGAAAATGGCGAAGAAGTAATGAAATGTGGTTTTAAAATTGGTGGTGGGATCGATCAAGATTTCACAAAAAGTCCACAGGGTTATACAGACAATGTAAGATATTACATGATTTAAAATAAATTGCTTAGATACAATTTGGATTTGAGAGAATATAAAAACTTGATACTAATTTGTTTTTCTTCTCAGGGTATATATGTAACAGAAGTACACGAAGGATCACCAGCTGCAAAAAGCGGTCTTAGGATGCATGATAAAATTTTACAGTGCAATGGATATGACTTCACAATGGTAACTCATAAGAAAGCAGTTTCTTATATAAGAAAGCATCCAGTGTTAAATCTTTTAGTAGCTCGTAAAGGTGTCACCAGTACTTAAAAATATTGCCAAAAGAGATTTTTATCTATCAATATTTATTTTTTAATAGTCTTAACTTTAAAAAGGTGTTTGCCTATCCAATCTATCTTTTCTGCCAAATAATATAGTAGAAAATATATTTTAGAAAAATCTTGATTTAATTCATTGTGAAGTTATTGTTAAATGTAGCTAAGACACATGTAACTAAAAAAGTTAAAGTTTTTCTGTTTATTTTAGAACTGAGATAAGAAGTCATACTAACTTGATATTGTTAGTTAATATTGTTAACTCAATCAATTTCTTCTAATTTAGAATTATCGAGATCGAATATTTCCTCTATTCCTGTATTTTTCTTCAATTTCCATTTTAATTCTAACAGCACATATATATAATGTTGTGCGCTTTGTCTTTTACTTACTTTTATTCATAAGACAAATGTTTTGAGAAAAACGGCGAAAGAAAGAGAATTTTATTTTAGAAGAAAATAATTGAGTTAGAATAGAAGTAAAAATTAGATCAAAGGAATGCTAGATAAGAAAAAATCAATTATATCCTTATAAAAAATGTTTGAAAAGAGAAATGCCAAAGTATAATAAAATTGCATTAAGTTATATATATCTTTGACTACAGAAACATGAATTATTGACTTTTTCTCATAAAAGAGTACTGCCAAGGATTTATATATAACATATTCTACATATGTTATATTTATTCATTCTTGATGCACTTTAGTCATTAAATTTAAATATAGTCATTCTATAATTTTTATAGTCAAAGATATACATAATAGGTACATAATATCCACTTTTATAACTATATATTCTTTAAGTTCAGCAAAGAGAATTGATATTTGTGTAGAGAAAAAGATACTTAGGAGAATTCCAAAACTTTCCAAATATTTATACTATAAGAGTTATTTGCTCTTCCTTCTAAAGTATGATATTTCTTAGAAAAATCTTAGAACAATTCAGACATATTATTTTATTTTTCTTGTCCATATTATAAAACATTATTGTGATAAATTAATTTACTCCTCTTAACTTGTATATCTAAAATTAATGTGGGGTAAAACATTCCAAGCTGTTTGCTTAATACAGTTATCCATTTAATGTTGTATCATTGAATATCAACAAATCTCTACCAATTAGAAACAAAATTTTTACCTACTCAACAATCTCAATTATTATGAAATGTCTGAATATGTTGAGAAGTGATAGAAATTATATATTCATTTTATTTTTTTTTTATTTTATATGAAAAAGAGATTATTATACATTTATATTGCATTTTTAACATTGTTTAAATAGCAAATAATCATGTTGCGAAATAACGTAATATTATATGTATAAACAAAAATACCAAACATCTTTTGTACTTCGTCTCTTTGTTTTTATCCAAAGGACGAATTTTTATGTATTTTGTAATTTTTGATACGAAATTTATGAAAAGTTGAAAATAATTTTATATTTTATCTCTCTTTTTAAGATGGATTTTAAAAAATATTATAAAGAATTGAAAGTTCCTGCATGATATATAAAGTACATAGCTTTGGGAACATTATTATTACACAGTCTTATAAAATGTCAAAACGTTTTATATATATATATATATTATATGTATGATGGATGGACGTATAAAATGTACAGTTGTAAAGCGTATACATATGTACATACATATATATGTACACACACATACACACATACATACATACATACATGTGTGTGTATATATGTGTGTGTGTATGTATATATGATGTATGTACATATATCTATATATGTACGTATCCATTTGAATATATATGTACGAATTGTAGAATACAATGTTATGAAAACCAAAGAAATTGTTAAAACCATTTTTCTTGTTATTTTATTTATCCTAATCTAAGGAGATTATTCAAGAAATATAATTACTATTTATAAATGTTAAAACTTGGAAACAAATCTTTTTGTATATGTTCAATGATAATTGGATAAATCTATTTAAACTTCATTAGCTTCAATATATGATGATAATAGAAATAACAACTACTAACTCTGTTATAGTAGTAATTGATATATTGGATCAATAGTATTTATAATGTGATTAGTTTTCGATTCAAGTAAATATCTTTAATTTCCAGTCACAAGATGCATATTGCATTATAGAATAGTAATAAGTTTTATAAATATCTTTTATTATTCAAATAATAAATTTACATATCTATTTCTTGCTGTAATAATATACTACATACACTCTTCATACATACTAGTTACAACTACATTCTAAAACAGCAATTTTTGTAGATTCTTGTGATGAATAACTAGTAAATTTTACATTTTTAATTAACTATTTAACAAATATAACTTATCATATTATTGTTACGTCATGCTAGTCTAGAAAAAACACATCTACTTTTTTGTTCATTCTAAAAATCTTCATTTGAAAAATACATTTTGTTTCTTTAACTAGACTCTTTGCAATTAGTCATCAAGACGGAATCTGTTAAGAATACATGGGAAGAATTTGTTTACTGATATTTGTTTACTGATATATAATTAATTATAAATATAATTTAAATAAAACTTATAATTTTACATATTATATCTTGCTGATAAGATAATTTTTTATAAAAGTTTTCTCTGTGTGTATTTTTATAGATTGTTTTTTATCGAAAGTATGAATATATTCCTTCAACACATTTTCTCTGTTTGTATATTATTCATTCTAATTGACTATATTTATTATACAATATATATTTTTCTCTGAGTATTTTTCATTCTGCATTTTTTAGAATTAATTTAACTAATTACACTTTGGCTGCGTTCGTTTTGACGATTTTAGCGCTGAAAGCATCGCTCTATCTTCGTTTGATATTCGATGTGGAATAAAGACAGAATGATGCTCACAGCGCGTACAAAGCGAACGCAACCTATATTAATATTATTCTATTATTAAATAATTTATACATATATTATGCATACAATTAATGATTTTTGTAAACTATCTAAAAATTAACAATAACATATTAAAATATTTTGCTGCTAAAACTTTATTCATATTCAATGAATATTCTGTATTAATATATTATAATTTCTCACAATTAATTTTTTGTTTAATTTCGTTAATTCACTCCATTGTATTAAAAGTATTCATTAATTTTAATATTTATTGGCACATTATAAATTACTAAAAACGTATTACATGTTTCCATTAATTTTTAGATAGTTAATAACGCAGTTAGTGTATTTAATTTGATCTAAACATATATTAATAATAAATTAATATACTCGATATATTAATAATAAATTAATATACTCGATATATTAATTTATGTTGTAATCCTACAATTTATTAATCTTATTGTATACTATATTAAATAATAAAATCCTACAACTTATTAATCTTCTTGGACACTACATTAAAAGACTCGTGGAAATATGTCAAAAATAATTTAAATATATGTTCTATCATCCAGATCAATGGAATGTTTTTTAATATAGTATAACATTACTTTTTTTTATACATATTTCTTGAATAATTTGAGTAAAATGTAATCTTATGAGGGAAGAACATTTTTCGTTACCCGTCTTTATATATAAATGTATGTGTATGTTTATATAAATTAATATTAAATCACAATGCAATTGCACAATTTGTATTACCGTCTACTTCAGAGCTGGAAATTATAATGTGCTCTTGCAACGGTATTTTTAATCTTTACAACATGATCTATATAATCATTACAACATGATCTATATAAAATGTACAAGATCTTATTTTGACTAAATTTTCTCTATATTTCATTTTTATATGAAAATAAAGTTTAAGTAGATAACATTATTATATATTGTATTACTGTTCAACAACTATAATTTGTCATTGGCTTTGTAATTGTCAACGTGAGTATTTTAGGCTTCAGAGTTGAATTGGTGATGTATATATATAAGCAATTGCGTCAAAGAAAATTAAAATATCAGATTAAAATATCAGATTAATTGAAATTTAAATTGTATTTTTTAGCTTCCTTAAACACAAATGAAACATTCGCATTTTTATAACATCCCAGCACAGAAGTTTGTATCAACATTGTTCTATGGGATATATTATTAACACATTAAAACTAAAATGATTTCATGTCTCTTGCAATTCAGCATTCACTTCCATCGCTTTTCATCTAGATAATGATGAACTAGCCTCTGATCTTCCACTTATAGCAGACTGCAAACTCATCATTGAACCCCTAAAAAGAAATCAATAAAAATGTCAATATAAAAAATGTTGTTCTAATAAATGAAAAATATGTATTATATACATTATATATATATATTTTTTTACATTTTCTATTTCAAATATTTTATGCACCTGTAATGTGCAGATGGCAATGTTTCATAAAAATACATAAGTTGAGCCTTATGAGAACTAATAGATGGAAGAAATTCGGCTTGGTCTTCTTGATTATGCCACTGTAGTATGTAAATACCTGTATCTTGCATGATATGCGTTCCCTGTACAAAGATTAATAATTTTATAAATTATAGAAATACTAGAGAAATACTATACTATAGAATCATTTACAAAGGTATTTAGGTAAATCACAAAAAGATAAAAATGTAAAATATATTCTATGATATATAAATATATCTGTGTGTTTGTACTATTATACAAGAAACAATTATATAATTTAGATTATTTTAATTAAATTAGTACAAAAAAATTAAAACCATAACAAAAATATATTGTTTGTGTTTTTGTGATATTTTCAGCTATTTCACACATGTATGGAGCTATATACTTTCTTATATTAAATATCAATACATAAATTATGTAAGAGAATACATACTTGGATGCTTTCACCATCATGACAAACTATACTAGGCTCGACTTTAACATAATTATCTTTCAATTCTTTTGCAACAATGACTTCATGATCACCACTTATTGCAAGTTCTGAGATTTCTACAAAAATAATCGAAGGTCTCTTAGCACTGTAATATGTACGTCATGTCTCTACTTTGAGTTGTTTAAAAATGTTACTTATGTGTGATATATGTGATTTCATAAATTTGTTTCTAATATTTTACCTGCAACAGCACCATTTTCGCTATTTCTTGACTTGTGAAGTACTGTGAATATAACATTATGCCGCATTACATCAAAATCCCATGTCAAAACAGCACCTGGATCATCTGATTCTATGAACACACGATGTGTTTGGCCACGGCTCAAACTGATGGAGTGGTATAAGCTATGTTCATGTTCACCAGAGGTACCCTCCAAGTCTACTTTGTATAAATTTTTCGGGACCACCCCACCTTCCATTATGTATGTCTGACATTTCAATAGAAATAAAAAAATTAGATAAACTTATAGTTTATATTATATCTTTGTTATGGGATATATACATATAAATTTATCAGATATTTAAAATTTTCATATAATTAATAGCTAATCAAATTTCAAATATTTTGTGATTAAAAACTTAAAGTTTAGATCTATCTATGTCATTTATTAATTATATACTTGGAAAACTGTTTAAAATATTCTGAAATTTAATTAGCTAGCACGCAGAATTATTTCACTTTTCATGTGCCTGGTGTTGTTCTATACTTCTTTAATTAGTGCTTGAATTTGCGTGCATTACATGAATTTCTGATTATATTTAATGATACACATAAATAATGTCTCAATGGATTACTTTTGAAATATTTCTATATATATTATAGAAATAAATAAAAAATAAAAAAAATTATAAAGACAGTAGATGATTGATATACAGTCTGGTTTCTGATGTAGAATGGATTTATATATAGTTTGGTCTCACAATGAGATATAGATGATATATGATAGAAAGATAAAGGAATATACAGATGTGACACAGACAATGTATCTAGCAACTGCTAATATTACATTTAACAATTTTTCGACCAATGCTTCTTTGTTATCAAAATATAATAATGTGCATTTATAATGTGTATTTATAATAAATATAGACGTCACAAATAAGAACGTCACATTTTTATCCCATTAAAGCCAGTTAGCTGCAGAGAACAACTTCTACAACATATTCAACATAAATTTTGTATCATTTTCTTACGCTGTTTGCAGTTGTGTCGAAAATGTAAAATCTTCGAGGTACCATACTATAGACTTCGCATATATTCATTTCCTAGTATTTAACATGCAATATATTACTCTAGCATGAATATTTAAAAAACGGCACTATTGTATATCTTTTAAAAAGAGAGAATGTTGAAATTCTTTTATAAAATAAATATTAAATTTAAGAGTGTTATAATAATCTGGTGTTAATTTAATTATGTATTATAGTATATATTGCACTATATTTTGTTTATACAGTGCATAAATTATATTGGAACTTATTAACTTATATTTTTATGACATTTATATTGCCATAAAAGCATTTCATTATTATATAATAAAGTATAATAATGATATATTAACAATATATTTTTAATTATTGATATGTGGAGTTTAATAATATATACAATATTTGTAATTGTAAATATTGCATCAATAATAAATATATTGTTTATATATCTTAATTTTTGTTGATATTATTGTAGTCTTACCTCTGAAGAACCACCAAGAAATTCAGGAATAAATTCTTGATTAATGTATTCACTAAGACCTCCAGAACCCTGTTCCTGATAGTCTGAACCACAATAAAAGATAAACTTTTTCCTAGTATTTTCGTCTACAATTTTGATATATATATATATAATTAGTAGAAAAGTATTTGTAATAATTAGTTTATACAATTTAAGTTATAATAATTATAAAATCTTACTAATAAATGTACTGATAAGTGTCCATAAAATAGGAAAGCATCTGGGAGCACGTATGATTAAAACTCTTCCCATTGTCTCTGGATAATTTGCCTCGACTATTTCTATTATTCTTAATAATGCCTGCGAATTTAAATTATTATACTTTACCAATATATAATTATTTATAAAATTATATAAATTATACAAATTAATATTCTAGTTATAAATTATATTTGTTTCATATTGAAATATTCATACTTTTATGCCAGGTCTCCATAAATGTCGCATATTTAAACCTTCCAAATCTATCAACAAAGTCCATTGCAAAACTGGATGTCCCCAAACAGTAGTAGCTTCTTCCATCAAGTGTAAACCTTCTTCACAGATATGTAACGCCTGCAGAAAAATAAAATCAAACTCTTAACTATCACTTCGAACGATTTTTTAAAATATTTTTCAAATATAACTTACTAGTAATAACAATTCATCTTCCCCAATCGATTTAAGTAGACCTTTGACATCCATTTGACCCAGTCTTAAAATATATAAAGGTCGTTCATCTATATATCAAAGGATATATAATTACAAAAAATGGTATATTATACATCATTTTATATATTACATATATTGGCATTATATTTTTTACAGCATAAATCAATGTATGACATTTGTAACAGTTTTTTTTTTATTGAGCAATTACCTTTATCAAAGTGATGCCAGCCACCAGGAAAGTAATCTTTAACTACTTGTGGCGTTTCATATTCATCGAGGAGTTTATCGATTTGATGCTTTTTTCTCCAATGTAAAGACTGTGTTAACATTTCTCTAGCTTTTTCAACCGAAAATTCAGTAGCCCTCAGAAACCGTAGGAGCGTTGCATAACCTGGTACCGAGCTTCCCCTCAGTTCCTCTATACTATGTCTAAGTTGCACTAATTTGCTTTCCTGCATCATATCTAATTTTCCTAAATATCTCTCTATATAATCCGAAGATAGTTGCATTTCTGAAAAGAATTGAAGAAAATAAAAATAAATTATTACATCTATTATTTACCAAAATATGTATTAAAGAAGATAATATGCATACCTCTGTTGCTGGGTAGTTTACTGTCGACATTACATAACTCTTTGTCACTATATAACTCATTATTTTCGACCACATTTTTCCTACATAAAAAAATTAACCATTGCAGACCGAAAATAATTGCTCAATATAAATTGTTAGTATGAATTTAGGTAAAATGTGTTAAATGTTTACTGCTGGAATTAAAATTGCAAGACGTTACAATTAGAAAGATTCTGAATATTATTTTTTTACACAGACGATACTTGTGCTCTTGATATCTGAAGTGCTCATCCATGATGATGCTTCCTTATAAGCAATGTGAAATTTATGCAACCAAGAAATATATAGACTCTAATGCATTTATAATATAATTTAATTACAGAGATATACTTACTTTTCTTCTTCAGAAGATCCTTCTTGTGGATCTTTCCAAGGAGGAACATAAGTAATGCCTTCTTCTTTCATTTCATTTATGAAGTATTCGATAATTTCTTTACCCTTTAATTATATATAATTACATTTTATATGATAATAAAATTGATATACTGTTACTGTATTATAATCATTATATCTGTCATCTGTATAATAGAAAGTGTTATAAATGTGCATTACCTTAGCAATATTTTGAGCATATTGCTTCATTGCTAATTTTTCCATTGAGTTTTCAAAACCAAAAAAATTTTTAATATCTAAACTTGCTGTTTGTTCAAAACAAGTCCATTCTGAATTTTCAGGATGAATCTAACAAGAGAGAAACAAAATTAGAAATAATCTAATTATTTTTTATATAAAGTTATAAAATACACAATACAATACTTCTAACATATAAAAAAGTAAATTTTATAAAATATATATGTGTGTGTATACACGAATAAATCTATTTCTAATACTTACAAAATATCTACATTTTTCAATAACTGTTACTCTAGTGGCAAAACTTTCGTTGTATGCTTCTATTTCTAAAACATTATTGCGTCTATCTAAAACATTCCTTTGAATGAAGTATACAAAATCTACACCAATTATCTGAAATAACGATATATTGATCATTATTTCCTGATGCATAAAAACTATTTTAATGAAATAATTTTTAATTTTATAGCTACTAATGTACAAAATCTTCAAAATCAAATAAAACTAGAAATTCCAAGTATTTTAAATCTAATACAGTATTTGTTAATAGTAATAATAATAATAAAAATAATAAATTTTTAGAATAATTAAATGATAAACTGAATATCATAATAAATATGAGATCAACATATGGACAAACCTTTTTTAAGATATAAGGTGCATCGACATTTAATTTACATCGTCTTTCTGTAGTTCTAACAGCACCGTCCTCGCTTTCTTCATCTAACATAATTTCACATCCGACAAAAACTGGTATCTGTGGACATGTTGGAAATCTACGCTCGTATGCCTGTAAACAGATAAAATGCATTTTTGTTTGCTTTGCACGTTATATAATGATAATATGATAAGTGATCCATTTCATGAGAAAAAAATGAGAGCAATAAAATGACTTGCATGTTTAGACTTAAATTAGAAAAAAAAAATGATATTTATAAGATTATCACGCTTTTTTATATGTGATTTAATATAGGTATTCACCTGATTCGACTATTGGATCGGTTTATTGGATTATCTGGGATATGCACATGTGTGCCGTGAAGGATATAGAAACACGGAGTGGTCAGTAAATATTTTATGACGGCCAAGTTCGAAGGTTGTGTAATACATAACAAACATACCATCATGACAAGAGCGAACGGATGCTTGTAAACTCGTACAGGCGACTGATATTGTTGAACCATATTTGTTTATTTTCTTTACGCGCCTTCGCGTATCTCGAATTTGCACTGTGATTATGTATTGACTTATAATATAATTCGATCACCATATATACACTATAGCCATTACAGCTAATCAATTAGTCGACGGAAGCAGACGGAACACTCTCCGATTATGGTATAGAGAGCACTGTCGCTGTTCAGCGGAAACGGGTAGGGTAGAAGCTCGCGGGCGTAAATGTCAAACGGCCGCTGTCAGTGCCGTCTTGTGACTTGGGTGCCGTAACTATGGTCACCTTCCGATTCACCCATGATGCGCATGAAGATGTATAATATGACAGAAAATGTATAATATGCGTGACATGAACTATACATTTTCTGTCACTTCATGCGCATCATGCGTAAATAGGAAAGTATCCTATCATAAAATACTGCGCAATACGATACATCTTGTCTATTTATACCCCACGACTAAAACGTCCCTCTTTCCATTAATTTCGGAACGCGCAAAAATGTCGAATGTCAACATGTAAAAATATATATAAAAATATATATAAATATATATTTGACAGACGGGGTGCTAGTATTGAAGAATCATTGATATATTTATAGTTTATTCTGATACACTATGTAATATTTTTACTTATATGTAATATTTTTTACATGTAGCGAAATGATTTCTCGATTTTCGCGCGTTCCAAAACCCATCAAGTAGGAATTTGTTGTAATTTTTAGGTTCTCGACTGTCGATGTATCGGTGTATTGACTGTGGGAAAACTTGCATAGTGTCTCCCATAAATTTGATTTTTCACAAATTTCGCGGAATCGCTCGATAATCTCGAGTTACAAGTGATAATTTGCATATTGAGAATCTCTCCCTCATGTGATGAGCAGCGCATGTGAGGATTCGTGTCCTTGGACGAATTATTTGCCGGAGACGATCAATAAATGCGTGCACAACCTGTTATCGTTTCTTTCGTCGACTTTTGGGCTAACCTTTAATTCCAACGATATCGTCATCTTCGATGATGATACGTCGTCGAAGCTACGAGAATTTTTTCACGAACTAATAGCGTTATTAGCGTTCGACGATTTTCAGCTTCAGCTGCTCAAAGTCTTCCTGTTGACATTCCTGAGCACGGTGGCATTAATCTTCGTTGCTTGGCATATTTACGGCACTAGAATTACGGAGCAATTTATGAAAGCAGGTAAGATCGTCTGAATAATATCTTATCTTTTCAATTTTTTTTTGTCTGTGATAATAATTATAAAGATTGACGTAAAAAAGTAATGGCATTTAAAGGTCAAAATAATGATAAGATATTATTTTAGGTGCAGCTGAAGATTGTAATACAATCAATTGAATAATATATTGGATATTTGATTATTATATTTTATTTATATAAATTGCAGCAACAATTTAATATCTGATAAATATGGCTGATAAAATCAAGTCTTTTTTCCAAAAAAAGAAGACAAGTGCAAAGTTTATGAAAGCAGGAAAGGGATACAAGTAATTGCAATTATATTATAAATTTCCGAAGCAAGATTTATTGATAACATATTTAACAATAAATTATACAATTATACATTATGATTTTTTTTGTACATAGATTGACAGATTCTACTAGCACCATATGTACTGCGAGCGAATCTAAAGAACCAATTAAGAGAGCGGAACCTACCGCAGAAGCTAAAATAGCAGGTCAAGCTGCCTTAGCAAGATTAGAAGCAAAAAAAAATGATAAACCAAGATTTAATACGTATGTAATATTAATAAGTTTAATGAAATTTTTGCTCTATTAAAGATAAACTATTAAAGGCAATAAGATAAAGACTGTATTAAAGATAATAACTCTATTTACAGGTCGTATGCTGCTATTCAAGCACGTGTTAAACGTGAATTGGAATTAGAAAGAAAAGCACAGCAAAATTTACAACAGACAGAAAATACATCATTGAAAGAGAAAAAAGACAGAGTTGAAGATCCTTCCATTTTTGCAGTTACTGATGTATTCTTTCGTTGTCCATATTTATCCGATGAAGTATTGCTTCGAGATGAGTGGAAAAAGAAAATTAGAGAATTTTTATACGAGCAAGTAAAAGGAGAAGAAGCAGGATTAACAGCATGTTTGATTATTCAGAATTGCAATACAGGGAAAGAAAAAATTGAAAGCTGTGTAGAAACACTTGGCAAATATTTAGATAATATCATTAACAATCCTGATGTTGAGAAATATTGGAAAATCAGGATGTGTAATAGAATATTCCAAGTAATATATTACATTCTTTTAGTTAATTTGATATAAATAATTTATAGATTTATAAATTAATATAAATATTAATAAATTAATATAAAATAGCTTTTATATTTAAATATTTGTCTGTATGTATATACATACATCTATAAATATGTAAATGCACATTTTCAGGAAAAAGTTTTGCCTATTGAAGGAGCATTAGATTTCTTAAAAGCAGCTGGTTTTGAGCAAAAGAAGTTGTTACATAATGATAACGAAGAAGATTTCTTAGTATGGAATCCTAATAATTGTAATATTGAAAACCTTATAATATTAGATGAAGCATTGAAATCTGCAGAATCTATTCCTATTGAATTGGATAGGAATCTACAAGTATTAATGCCTAGCCAAGCTCGCATGAAAAATGAATTGCCACCTAGTTTTTTCACTATAACTCCAGAAGAACTAAAAAGAGAACAACAATTGCGGTAAGTTACACATGCTTTTGATATGATAAAATAAAAAAATATCAATGTAATATAATTAAATGAATTATTATCAGATCGGAAGCTGTAGAAAGAAATCAAATGCTAAGAACAAAGGCTATGAGAGAAAAGGATGAGCAACGCGTACTTAGAAGATATAAATTTGCCGTACTTCGTATTAAATTTCCAGATGGAATAATATTACAAGGTACCTTTTCTGTACATGAGAAATTCCAGAATGTAATCGAATTTGTTGATGAAAATTTAATTGACGATAAAGTGTTCTTTTCTTTGGTGACACCAGACGGAATTAAGCTAATAGAAGAATGCTATGATAAGACACTTTTAGAATTACGATTAATTCCCACAGCTATATTGGAATTCTCATGGAATATTACTGATAAGGAAAATATGCCTAAGGGATATTTGAGGGAAGATGTACTGTCTTATATACAAGCTGTTTGAAAATAATACTATATTCTGATGCAGATAACAAATTAATTAAAAACGCATTTTTTAAACATAAATTTTCACAATAGCGTTTTGACAAATAATAATGGAAATATGATTATATTGTCATAATCACACATAGTTTTGTGACTATTCCAGTTTTTAGAAAATTTTTCTGATATTACATAAATATCTCAACTTATTATATATTATTATTTATATTAAAATTATTTATATTAAAACTCCATGTATATTAAAATTTGTTAAAGTACATTTATTAGAGCTTTAATGCAAATAAATTTACATCATCGTATATATTACATTATTTAAAAATTTATCTATTATATGTAAATAAAATGTAAAAAATCATTTTATTTTATTATACAATTTTAGTATATATAATGTATGTTTTAAAACATTATTAACATATATATAAATAAGTACTAATAATATTTAATTCTATATATTTTCTTGCAATAGGTTTATTTTCTCATTTGAAATAGACTTACTATATTATTATTCATTTATTAAAAAACAAAAAGTACAGGTGATAAGTATATATATATTGATTCTTATCTCTGGAGCAAACAAGATTATGTGCGTACCGTTTGTGTATTAAATATCAGATTTTATGTTTAAAATCTTATATTTGTTATATTTTTTTCTTTTACATCACGCTAATATTCCATCCACATTTTAGCGCGCCTTTAAATACATGATACTGAAGTGTTGTTCTGTTTTCGGGGAAACCGGTTGTTCGTACAGCCATGCTAAACCACAGACAGTTTTATGTCCCTCGGCAATTACTTAAAACCAGTTTGAACATCACCTCTACCGCCCTCAAAAGTATTTAGGCGTGGAATGATAATCTCTCTTTTTCTTATAACGGTATCGTGACAGTAATGTTGCGTACAAAAAATACATGGATATATGTATATATGTATACTTGGGTGTACGATTCATAGAGAAAAAAATTGACATTGTTTTTATATTGGGCAAGCAAGTCAGTAATGATTAATATATTTGTTTGGCGATAGAAAATACTTGAAAATATATATAAAACATGCATGGCTAATGAAACGCGTAAGTTTAGCGATCGAGTTGGTCGATTCGCACGCGATTTTACGAGTTGACCCGCATGTCGTGTGCAATAATCGACTGGCACTCCCAAATGCGTGCAACGCGTAAAATGCAATACGCACCGGCTGTCTCGCGGCTATTGTTGTATTTACGCTTTTTCAAGCATATTGTTTGAACCGCTCGCATTTCCTGTTGCGTGCCAGAATGGGGCTTAACGTTGCATTTGGGCGCGTGCGATTCTGCACGAGGAATTTTTGCCTTTCACAAACATATATGACACGTAGAAATCGAGAAATTTCGCAATATCGAAAATATATTATGACGATTGTGTGTCGCAGTCGACAGATTTCTCCTCTTTGCCAGAATCCAGGCGATGTATGATTCTCTTGCATCTTTATACTTTCGATTTCCTGATATATTGCCAGAATAATTTATGGCAAATTATCTGTAAATTGAAACTGATATTCGTAAAAACTGCATATCGTTACTATTGGATTTTATAATTTGTTATGCCATATTTTCATTATTCAAAATTTATTCATCATTGTTATTCTAGATATTTAATTTATGTTAGAATTATTGGCTCATTTTGCATTGTATTATATTTCTTTTATAGGAAAAATAAATTTCCGCAGGAACTTTCATAATAACGCAACAATAGAGTTTTTTGCCAATGTTCCGCATTGTCTTTCGATTTACCGCAGCCTCGGTGGTCAGTTTCTGGTGCCGATCGGCATCACGCGTTGTGGTTGGATGTATCGACGGTTCTCCGATCTGTTTTCATCTCAAAAGTGTGTATGTCGATTTAAAATACGATGAATTTATTACAACGTGTAAATGTAATATGATTATTACACGAAAAAATGCCATTTCAATGTTTTATTTTTTCTTAACAACTCATATTTCATATTTATATATTTCCTTATTTTTATAATAATTATTATAGAACAAGTAACGCTCAAAAATTCAAAAATCCAAATATATTTGAAAAATAGACAAAGAAGTGCAAAGATATAAATGTACAGTCTCCTTCTCATGTGTTCTCATATTTTAAAATACAAATGTAATATTTTAAATATTATATTTAATTATTTTATCGATCATCCTTATCCGTATTCTTGTCAGTTAATTGTTTAATAATCTAATTGATAATAGTAATTAAAAGATATCGTAGCATAATCGCATTCTTCTTGTAAAAAAGATGTAGGGATATGACGATGGTAATTTTTCTATGCAAAATACGCTTTTAATTATTATGCTGCGTGATCGGTTGTGGGAAAATCACGATTTAACGCGATCCGTAATGACAGAATATGATATGTTTATGATTTTCAGCGTCCGTTCGATTGTGCGATGCAATGGCCATGTAATAGAATGTGTGCGTGGCCGCGGGGGATGCGTTTATATAAATGCTCCCGTGCTCTCACGAACGTGTGCTTGTTCATATAATCTCGCATACCGTGAATCGTCGCCCTTTTACAATCCACTTAACGATCTTGGCACACCTGTTGCAAAAACGGGAGGTAATAATTGCGAGCAAGTTTTTCTCAATTAAGGAAGAGTGATATCACGGACGCGGAATTTCTGTCAAGAAAAATAAGAAAAATTAAGGAAAATGAGTGCTCTGAGCTCTCCCCTAAGGGCAAAAAAACTTTCAATTGCACAATAATTATCTTATTCATTTATATTCTTAAAGTTTCTCTAATTTAAATTTATAGTATTAAAACATGCAAAATTATGGAATTATAAAAAAAAGTTTATTATAATATGCCCTAATTTGTTTTTTAATGCCCTAATTTTAAGTCAGAATTAATTAAAATTAAAAGTATTCGCAGAATTTTTTTCAGAGATATTCTGTGTATAACGGACACCGTCATTATACGCACGATAATGTCAAAATGTGTGAAACGATGAAGTTCAACGAAGGTGATATTTAACTTACACGCGAAGGAAAATGAAAAAGGATAATCTCGCGTAAGGCGTCGCCGCGTAATTGCGATCGAATAATGAAATAAAAGAGAAGAAGCTGCGCATCGGAAGCGAATGTTGCCTAAGGCGAGAGCAATCGTAGAAGGACGCGAGATGGAGCGATATAGAGACAGATCGAGCGGAATCGAGCCCATCCCTCTTAGAATCTCGCCTACCGGAAATTTGCAGTTACCTCGCATTCCACGCAGGGTCGAACGCCCTGAAGATGCTTCCGATCTGTGAGGATCGTTAATCGCCCTGAAAACGGGATTTTCAATTCGTTGCGATAATTTTCATTCATCGGGAAAATAGATTTGTCGATCAAAAATGGTGTTGAATGGTCATGAATAATTATTAATGAAAGTAGTTGCGAAAATGAGATTTGAAAATAGTAATGTTGCATTCATTTATAATTAAGATTTGTTTATAACTCAAAAAGTTCTAATTTCCATTTTTTATTCAAAATATCCCTTCTAGAAGAGCAAAGTATATAATATTTCGTTAAACTTATCTTCTGTTGCACATAGTTTTATTTAAAAATATAATAATAATATTAATTAAAAATATAATAATACATAATAGTAATATTTTTATTTAAAAACAACGTGAAACATTCGAAAGACGTGAGTCATTGTTTCTCAATATTTAAAAAATTCAAGACATTGATTCACAATGCGTTAATATCGATAATATCGATGATAATGATACTTTTATTTTATCTATTCATTTTACACTTGTAAAAAGTTTCAAAATATGAGTTTGTAAATATACATATATGTATTCGACATGCGACCAATGCGTGCGCGCGCCGGCGGCCATCTTGCGCGGCCTCGCTTTCGCGCCGAGTCGCGTGGCTCTCTCCGCGGCTGCATTCAGTGCGCGCCGACTGTCGCGGCTGATCGTATGGTTAGGGATTAACGCTTTTCGCTGCGGTCGACTTAGTTCGGTTTCCCGTTTGATTCACGGAGAAAAGTTCGCTAAAATCGATCTGTCAACGATGACAATCGGCGTTCGAAATTTTTAAGCGCGAAAGCGTCGTTTACTTGTCAGTGACAGTGACGATTGACATCGCGAGAATCGATATCGACATTCGTAAAATTCGGAACGTTGTTTCACAACTTGTGTACGAATTCGCGCGACTCATCGATCGATGCGCGCGTTTTATTATCGATCACGAGACGCAAAAGTTTAGTCGTTGAATTGTCGGGCGAAAACGGTACTTCGATTGTGGTCCAGCCAGTTTGTCAAGCCCCTTTGTCCACGACGTGTCTACTTGTCAATCAATCGCTTTATCGACGGTGATTATCGATGCGGAAGCTGTAACGAGAATCGCTTCCTCGAATTCGCGGGATGAAAATTCACTAAAGGTAAGCGTGTCGTTTTCTTCAAATTGACATATAATATGCAAGAAAATTCGCATATTCGAATAACTTTGATAATAATAGAAGAAACGTATTAAATATTAACAAATATTCTTGTTTATATTTTGTGAAGCATCTTGATGCATTTGAACAAATTTTTGATAGAATAATTTTATAATTAAATTTAATTTAATAATTAAAAATATTTTTGATTAAAATCTATGTATTTAAGTATGTAAAGCACACGAGAAATACGAAAGTTTTTCGTTTATACAAGTATAATGGCTGTAATTTTGTAATAAAAGATTGCATCGTTATGTACTTGCGTAACAAGGCGCGTTAATAAGGACGTAACCGCGTAAACAGCGAGGGCCACCTGCGCGCGAAAATGATAGGAATTTAAATCACACGATGATAAGCGACCTTGATTACGACAATGACATCTTTGACGAGGGCAGAAAACATGTTGCACGTAATTTGCATTGCGTGTTTGGCGCGGAGAAATGATTCAACTATTATATATCTTATTATTTTCGAAAAGATACGAATTGTCATCGTTCATTTTTTGCTTGAATATACGATACGAAATAGCTATATGAAACTGATATTTTGAGCCTGAAAACAAAAAAATACGCTTGAATTTAAGGATTAGAATTTATTTTTGGAAATAATATCTTTAAAAAAGCTGTTTTGATATTTTAAAGAGACTTAGTTTTATTAATAATTAAAAAAATAATACTTTAATATTTGAAAAAATAATACTTTAATATTTATAATAGTATTTGTAAATAATATTATTTACACTTTAATGTATGTGTATATCTAAATCTTTTACGATTTAGAACGTGTCACACTTTCATCAAAATATCTAATTCAAATTTCAATCTTTCAATCTCAAGATTACTGTCAGATAGTAATGCAATTATAACCGGTTTATTACGTGGAAAGAACTCCATTAGTCCGCGGTCTGTACAATGCCATAATTGCTAGATCTAACTATGCGTATAATTGTAGTATATCTAGAAATAAAATTTGTTATTTGTTCAACTGTCATTCATAAATGATGGATAATTAACAAGCGTATATCAGCTTTCAGGATCACTTAGCATATAAAAACATAATAAAAAACGATGTGTTAAAACTGAAGCATGTCAATTATTTTCTAACAATTAGGCCCAGTTCCACAATCCAGTTAATCCGAGTTTAAGTAGTGAATCAGGACCAATCAGGACCCAGTTTAACGTATTAAACTCGAAGTATTAACTCGAGTTATGGAACCGGGCCTAAGATGTTAAATGAGCCTGAAAATCTCTAAAAATTTATCGTGATGCAATCATTTATATTATTCTTATTCTATTTTATAATATTACCAATGCATTTTATACGGAACTTGAAATATCCCACTGAAAAGATAAACATAATTTAAAACATCTGATTAAAAACATATTCTAGGCGTTTTTACGGAGAGACAAATAGCAAAAATATAAATATTACAGATAGTATCTTTTTTTATTTTACGAGATATAAGTACGAAATCGCGCGAAATAACCGTCTTTTCAACTGATACAAACTTCTTTTTAATCTTTCGATTCATTGTCGACGAGAAAATTTAGTCAATAATTTTCCTACGCATCATTGTTTCTTCTCGGAAACAATGAGCTGTTTAACGTGTACCACCGTGTACTTTTATTCGTTGTTTGCATACGAAATTCGATGAATGGAATTTATTTCGTAAAGATCTAATGACAGTTCCTCAAATCATATGCAAATCATTTATTCTGTTCAATTATACGATAAAAACTGTTTTATCTTAACATATTATATTTTAGATATATCGACAAATTTTCTATGAGTTATAATAAGGATATATAGATTTTGCTGGACTTTTTACATTGTCTTTTACATCTTTTATTTATGATAACAAATAAGTTTGAATAGACGGTACCGAGACGGTACTTTGTTATCTAAAAGCAATATCTACTTTGATATATTTTTAACTTTTTATATATATTCGCTTCTCTAACTTTTCTCATATTTTCGCAATGTATCGCAAAAAGATTTCAAACGATATATCGCAAGTCTGACGAACCGTCACAAAAGTCTATTATTGCGAAAGTTCTTGAGAGATATAGCGATGTACATTCTTTCGAAGCAGAAGGACAATTTTTATAATCAGACATTGAGTCATATTGATTGCAAATAAACGTTCCATTTTAAATAACATACTTTTGTATTTCTTTGCTTTACTGCTTATTACAAAACTGTTGATGTATTCTTTTTGTAAACTCTTTGATATGCTTCTTTTGATGATATCTTGAAATGCTTTCTTGGAGGAATTTAGCAGAATTTTATTGAATTACGAAAGTGGATTTCTCAGACTTTAGAATCATATAGTTTGACAATATTAATCTCTTGAATTTATTATACCATTTTATTTCATGTATATTGTAATATTTTTTTATTTATTTCATGTATATTGTAATATTTTTTTATTTATTTCATGTATATTGTAATATTTTTTTGAATCGTAATATATTGACGAAAAAACTATAGTTACTTTATTAGAAATAACTTTTCCTCCGCAGTTATACGATATTAATGCTATGTATTTTTTATCATTTATCGTTTCTTGCTTATTTTCTTATTTGTTCTTGAATACTAAATCGAATTCTTGAATACTAAATACTAATCAGTGGAAATTTTATGAAGATGTCAAATATTGAAATGTTTTAGAATAGAAAATAAAAGAAAGTCGTTTTGCTGCAAAGACGATGCCAGACATTGCCTTTATTAAAATCTAATTAAATCAAGCGAGTGTATATGATGCCCTTATCGCTGTTATCGCGATATAATATTTAAATGTCGATAAGCTCGGTTTACTCTTAAATTATTCTACAAAGCAAACGACTATAGATATTGATTGAGAGAGAAAGAGAGATAATTAAGAAGTCGGAAATTGATAATCAAAGGATATGATAATTTAAATTATTTGACCTCTTCTTATATTCTTTAAATTAATAATTACGCTTTGACATTTATTATTTTTATGGAACTAAAAAAAAAATATAATTTTTTTTAAAGATACATTTATTAAATAAGATGTAAATATTTTAACAATTATCTATATTAGACTTACTTAGTTTTAATGAAGTAGGTCTCTTAAAGATTAAAAATTTATTAAAATTGATTTGATAAAAATGTTTAAGTGCAATTTTGAGTCAGACCTAAATATGACTATAACGAAGTACATGCATAAACAGTCGCGTGTTGAAATATTCATGCAGCATCCTTTCCATTTTCTGCAGTCTGACTCATGCTGAACATTTTTTTAAAGTGAAGAATTTGTACAGGGTGCTCCATTCTGTGCACACTCTGCGTTTGCATAGAGACGCCGACGTTCCTTCTGTATGTGTGTTGTCTCGTCGCGAAACGCCCACCCACGCGTTGCTTTAGGCTATGGGTATATATATACAGGGTGTCACGAGAGTGCATTGATCGTTGAATATGGCTTTTGATGAGAGGGACGCCTAGAAGGCTACTGTTTCTTAAGAGATATTAAAGATTTAGTTCTTCGTTAAGCTCGTCGATTTCAACATAATCCTTCAAAAGCGGCGTTATTTTAAGCGCGAGCAAAATTATTTAAATCGAAAGAAACGCGCACAAAGCCTCTTTCTCTCTCTTTATGACCTACATTTTCGTTTCTCGCAGTTATACTTAATATTGAAGTACAATTCTGCAGTTGCAATTGTTAAAGTATTATAGGATCTCTTTTGTTACACGGTTATTTTATTTCACGTTTATATAGTCAGAAACAATTTAGAAGATTCTTCACTGACAATGCCTCTGTCTCATTCATCGCATTATAGCGGGACATTTCCCTTGAGTTTTAACACACGGCGGAGACATACATCAACTTTTTAGTCGTTCTAGCGACGAAAGATTATTCATTCCTTCATACAAGCTCCTACTGAATGCATAAATCGTTTCTCGATTCTGTTGTTTCGTCGCAAGACGCGGTGCATTAAACATAATGCAAGTATTTCGCGATTTAATTTCAATAGTGGGTTATGTGTATGACATAGATTTATGATTTCAGTATCAAACAATGGAAATAATAAAAAAATTAATATTATATATATATATAAAATTTTACTTTTTATTTATGATACTTTTATTCTTTTATTGATAAGATCAGTATGATTAATATTGCTTTCTGTAGAAACTTTAGTCTAATTATTTTTATCAAAAATGTTGATGTATAAAGTTCTGATTCTGTCTGCGGATGCATGTAAACACAAAAAGGAGAAGGATGTGGAAGAGAACATAACTTGAGGCGGGATCTTTCGGTTATGATTTCATTAAAACTTTCTCAAACTTTATCCAACAGAGACGATTTTGTTACTTGTAATGATTATATTAAACTTGATTTGGACAATAGTTAAAGAAAAGGAAAGAGAGAGAAGAGAAAAAAAGATAAAAAATAATATATAATATATGTATAAATAATACATTATTCCTTTTTTCTCTATTTTTACATGAATATTATCTCAATATTTTCAAAAATTTTTCGCTTTTTCTTTTGTTTGTTATCTATTTTATTTCACTAAATAAGAATGTTTCGTTTACAAATACAAATAAATTTCAAATCTAAAAAGCTTTCATGTGCATATAAAAGTTATATTAATTATTTTTAGTAATAGCTGCTTGATTTTATTAGAATAAAGTATACAACGCGCGGCCTGCAATCCGTTATCATGCAGGACGAGATGGAAGTTTTGTGTAAGATTGGCGCCGTATTTCCAAACTCATTATCTAGAGCGACTACGCGCCCGGATAGAAATTTCTTGAGGCTTTTCAGACACACCCGCACTTGATAAAACATTTCCCGCGATGCGCAAGTGCAGGAGTTTATCGGTGTTTGGATTAGCGAGCGTGAAAATAAAGGTTGCGTTGATTTATATCGAAGGAAGTTTCATAAATTTTGTTCAAGATGTGTTTGGTAAAGTAAATATTCTTTTCTATTTTATAGCGATCGCGATTCTTTGATCATACAAAACAATCATCGTTTGCCTTGAACAAAAGAAAAAAACATTTTTCAAATCTTCATGTATTTATCGTCAGAATGTTATCTTTGATAACAAAATTTTTGTTAGCTTGCATTTTTATTTTTTAAACTAAACAGAGTGCAACGTAAAGAAGTACGTTAGGTCGTCTTGCACTGGAAGGTTAATAATTAAGACGATGTACACACACACATTTACATATTTCGAGTGCAAGGGGACGTAAGTCGAACAAAGCTTCGGGTGTTTGCGATCCCTCGTCAAACTCGATGTTGATCGCAATCGATATAGTAATGCTGCTTTTTTTGACAGCAAGTGTGAATGAAGTTTCTATCCACATTACTCGATCGTTTCATTCACACGTTGTGTCGAATGTTACGTTCATTTGCATTCATCCATTCCACTGGTCATTGTAAATAATACGTTTCTATCGCTCTTCCTGTATCTCCCTACTCTCTCGATCCTTACGGTGTACTTATGCATATGCATGTATGCATCTGCATAATGTCGACCTTAGTAATTTTGATTTAATTTTCATTGCGCGTTGAAATACGCTTCAGTAAGTTTCATGCATTTTATAATTCTCACGTCTCTCCAAGATCTGAAACAACAGGGCAAAGTGCTAAAAATGTATTTTAATGCAGTTACGAGACGGCGGTGGCTATTGCTGTCACTGCGTTTTTAAATCGCTCGTATATTTATAGAACACGAATCACAGACATCGTCGTGAGCAACTCGCTCGTAACAGTGTTGCGAAATTTGGACGAACAAGGATGAGCCGTCGTTCGTAATTTAAGCTTTTTACAATAATTTTTTTATATGAAAAAGAAAAACCAAGATTTCCGATATCATGTGTTTACAAATAAATTAGATACTTGTGTGATTTAAAAAAAGAATTGACATAAATAATGTGTGGCATAAATAATGAAGAAAGTGAGATACTGACATATGTAGCAATATTTTATTTATTCCACTCATTCTTGTATTATATTAAAAAAAAACGTAAGTATTTGTAAACAGAATTGTTCAATTAAAAGTTACAAAAATGATACTGAGTGACTTTAACTTTTTATAAAATTTTCTATGACTTTCTATGTATATTTGAATTTTTTTATATTAAAAACTATTTTTTAAATAGTTACAGTGATATTGAAAAAAGTATTATTTACTGCAAAGCGTATATATTTTTCATTTTATTTTTTTTGTTGATAATTTTAAGTACTAATATAATTAATTTAATGTTTATTATATTTTTTAATAATTAATTTATAATATATTATATACACATCGAAAAATAATCTTTTTTTTATTATAATGTAAAATTTAAATTTAACTTTAAATTTAAATTGAAATTTAAATTTACGAAGCTTAGCTGTTTGCAAAGTGTACATGTTTAGAAAGAGTAGATTTAGCTTATTCATCAAACCGGAAGTTTCTGTTTAATCGTTCTGGCTTACTGGTTTCCTGGTTCTTCGTGATTTTCCTTTTCTCTAGAGCAACGACATGTAAAACATATCTCATACTAGCAATATATATTTTACATATAGATTACTTAGATAGGGAGAGAAAAACAACATATTGTTTTTAGTTTTCTGTAAACTTTCCTAAAAAGAAATTATTGTAAAAAATTATTTTTTTTCTGAGAATTTGTTATTAATATTTAGATTAATATTTACATTTTTTGGAAAATTAAATAACTTAAAAAGGTTTGATTAACTGCTCAGTCTGTACAATTGCTCGGAATAAAAATCGTGAGATTAAAAGATACAGTTATATAGATCTAAATTATTCCTTTGAGACGATGATTAAAAAGGATAATTAGTACGCAAGACACTGTAATATCACTTAAACGTGAATGGACTTTTACCAACAATTCGATATTATTTTTTTAATATTACAGCTTGATTCTTACAACTATCGGCAAATCTCGTTTGGATGCTGCAGTCAAGGAAGGAATACGAAACGAAGTCGTATGAGTTGTGAGAGGAATTCCTAATCACGAACAGTCTAACAGATAGCTTGATAACTATGAACACTTCAAGGTTTTATCCCTGATTTGATTAATACTTCTCGTAAAAAGGAAATGCCGTGTTATAGCTGAATGGATTTGAGGAAATGTTTTTATTTGAATCTTTTGAATTTTAATTCAGTGCACGCGTTGAATACGTGACATAAGATCAAATATATCGATAACTCTTAAGCTTTAACTTTATAGCTTTTCTCTTAAAAGATTTATTTATTATATATTTAATGTATATTTTATAATAGATATTTTATTAAATAATATCACAAAAATTTAATATTTAGTACTGCATGTATAGATAATTAAAAGCCAAAAAAATATATCAAAATATCTGTTATAATTTACATAAAACAAAATATATATCTTTTTATCTATATAAGTATATAGATAAGTGGGGCCATAAGTACAATGTGTATGATGGTTCAACTTTTGCTGTTAGAAGAGAGACTTCAAAGGGAACTAATTTGCATACAGAGAGTTCAGTGAATTCGAAAATTTGTGTGCAGACTCTGCACGCGCGTCGCTTCTTTCTTCCTTCATGAGAGCGGATGTGCTTGCTTATTGCACACGTGAATTTTAAGTTCTTCTCAGGAATAGTAAATTATTCAAAAGCGCGATAAAAGTAAGAAATCTTGGAAGAGTGTATAAAATAGATTAGACGAGATGTCCAAATGGAGTTCACCTCCATTTTGTACTTTAATGTATCGTTTTATGTTGAAATAGGTGTAATCTTTGTCTGTTCTTTTTCTCTTCTTTATATTATGATAGAAGTTTCATGCCGTTGACAACGTAGCATTGTCTGCAATAGAAAAAAAATTAAATTTATTTAATAGAGTACCTAAATAAAATTAATAGATAAATTAGCTAAATAAAATAATTAAATAAATAAGATAGCTAAATAAAATAAATAGCTAAATAAAATAGATAAATAAATAAATAAATAGCTAAATAAAATAGGTAAATAAAGAAATAAGATAGTTAAATAAAATAGATTTTCAATATATCGATTTTCGATATATCGCATTACTTCAAGTGCTTGACGAAATTCTTTCGATGCTATGAAACATATTATTGGCAGGGTCATCGGATATATTTTAACCATCGTATAAACTATCTCTATCACAGTATCGTTACAGCAAAACGCTGTCGATGTTAAAAGACCAATAGCTCTCACAACTCGATATGGTATCATAGTTATAAAAAATCCAATAGTAATGCCAACTGTAACATAAATGTTCCTTCGAAATCTATGAATGTTTGAATAATGTTACTTATATTTTAACATTAAAGTGAAATTTCTACTCACCTAGGAAGATGAAACATTCGATATCTTTGCTTGGCCATGTTCCGATTATTAATTTTGATATTACTAAATCATACAAAATGAAGCCATCAAGCATGATAAAAATAAAACAAGGGAATATTAGAAACATAACGGTGGATGACACGTAAATGTCGTATACAACTTCGTCTTCATAATAATCATAGAGATTTAATTCCATAGCTGTCACCAAGATGCACATTATCCATATGAATAAGATGCCTTTTATAGCCGTTGAGATTTTCACGAGCGATTTGAGAAGGGGCCAACTTTTCTGACAAATAGCAACGTACGCTTCGATATTCAATATAATTATTATCAGAATGGATGTGCCGAAGCTCACCAAAAATATGTAGTCGAGATTCATCATTAAATCTATATGGAAAATCCAACGAAATACTTGCTGAAATGGTTCGAGTAGGATTGTCAAATTCGATAACGCCAAGCTCATTATGTAGCAATTGGCGGAGGTATACATGGAAGAGTTTGATACGATAATGAGACCCAGCAAAGCATTCAGGCAAGTGCCTGCCACCAGCAGCGTAAAATCCATGATATTACGCACGGGCTCGGGTATGATTGGTATAATGATGTTCATTTTGGTAGGATTCGTCGTTACAATACAATCCGTTTGAATTCGCGGAAACTGACTTTCTAGGTATGTGTGAATTTCGTTTATATCATGCTGGTTAAACATGACGTAATGTTTATATAGATTTATCACGTGATCTCTTATCACACTTAGACTCGCTTATTATAATCTACGAAATTGAATGTTTTTTTATCAATCGTGCACTTTGAAAAATTCTGCATGCACAAAATTTGCTTTTAAGAAATTTATGCACTTTTCTTAAGACTTAGCGTTTCTAACGCAATAAGCTTTCTACGATTTATTGCTGGAAGAAGCAGTAAAAGAAGTGAACGACAAATTGGTAGCACATGCTGCTTCAACGATCTACGCGCATATTACTGACTGACGCATATGACAAAACGGTAGTTTGTAGGATCACCACCTACATATTTATCTTCCCCTATGGGAGTGTGATGCCCTACATCATAGGCAAACACCGTCGAGTAACGATATTATACAATTTGCCGACACGCAACCATTTCATTTAATAGAGTGGCTCTTTAACGAAGTGTAAGTTGCGTTTCACTTTAACGGTGCTTATATGTATTGAATAGTCTGTAACTATGGAATAAATTTATTATTTTGACAGATACATATAACGTTTACAGAAACTATTACTATATGTTTTGCTCTAAAATTATAAATACGAGTGGAATTTTATCGATTAAAAAAACAAGAAATTCAAGTTTACTCAATTTTACGCAAATAAATACGACACTGTTTAATTTTTATACATTAATAATATATTATTGCGGGATGTAAATTTTGTATAATAAAATATTAAAATAAATAAAAGCATGTCGAACATCTCTTGCAAAGAAGCTATGGACTTCCTTATTTACAAGAAGGAAGAGTCCTTGAGGGCTCCGCTTTCTGGCTGCAAATAACGACCAGCAAGTAGCAAATAAAAAAATGATGGTACTTGAATAAATCGTGCTTCTTACGACTCGTTTATTCGAACAAGAGAAGATATGAACAGAATAAGAAAAAAGAGAGAGAGAAAGACTTCTGCACGCGACTGTATAATACAATAAGATTTACAGGACGCCTCTGGCAAGCGGCCATGAGCGCGATATCGGTCAGCTTTTGCCGCTGATAGATTTATCGTTGGATTTATAAATCCAACTCCTTTAGCACATCGGAGTTTTGTATCTTCCTGCAAAATTGAGCGAGACTATCTGGCGCATTGTGCGCTTCGAAGACGCTCTCAATAGACACGTTATCGAGAAGAGAAGAGTTGGGTGTGACATCCATTCTTATCGAATTAAAAATTGCGCGGGCGGAGTCGGATCGACACGGTAAATATTTATCGCATTGTATTCGCGTTAATACCTATTCAATTCCCGAATATTATAGAAGCTATATTAAGCGCTTAAGTTCCTTAAGCGAAATTTGCATCGCGACGCGCAGCATCATGTATTATTTATAGCGTCTATGCACATAGTAATATTCGCTTCCATGTTTATGCAATAACGATTATTTATAGACTTCTTCTTTCCTCCGATGTAGATGATAACTAGAGGCATTTATAAAACTTTGCAGCTGGTCGGAGCCTCTTTTCCTTGCGGCAAGGAGTTCTGGACCAGTTTGACTACGTGTTTTCATCTTTGGACCAGGTGCGAGGGAGCGCGCGGTTAATTTTTGTGGGTTCCTTCGCGCTCTTTTTTCTTGTTTTCGTCTGCTTCGGGATCGGGTTAGGGATAGAGGGTGATCTCGGGGCCAAATAAGTACGGTGGCAGGGCCGAAGGACCCCGAGGCCACAACCGGTTCGCCGCCTGAGCATCATTACGACGTAACTCGAGCGACCCTGAGGAGGCTTCGAGCTTCACAATAATCAGCGAGCTGTATTATCGCTGCTGAATAACAACATTCCAATGATGATCTCGAAGGTGTAAAGTAGTCGTACTTCGAATGTTATATGAAGAGATCTAATAAAAATTATTATCATGTTACTTTACCACAATTGAAAAAATAAATTTACAAACAATTTAAGAAATAAATTGACTAAAGTAGGATATATTGGATATTGATTATTTCTTATTATTATTATTTAATTGTTCTTACTTTTAATCCTGTGATTTTTTATTTATTCGTAATTATATTGTATTCTTTTATTAAAGTTTTAAATATCTTTTATTGATTTTAAATCACAGTTTTATATTGAAATGTGTTTATGATATAGATATTTAATTAATGCGATCGGTATTTCATTCATATCTCCCAAGCTTTATCGCTCGCTACACAGAAAAACGGTAACTAAAAATATACATCATATTGCGTATTTCAATAAATCTTCTCTTTTCAAGCCCCCGAACGAGAGTCTATTTCAATTAAAAATGATGATGAATTATAAAACACATTATATTCAAATATTATATCTTGATTTATTTTAATATTTATTTTAGAAATAAAATTTCTATCCTGACTGTTAATAAATTTATATTAGATAAAATAAATTTTTTTATATTATGTCTAATATAAAAAAAATATTTTTAATTATCTTTATTTTATTTTCTTTAATTTGTCAATATGCATATAACAATTATATTGCGCATACTTTAAATGTGATTGTAAATGCATGTGCACATATAAGAAATGTATATTACTTTAGTTGGCCATCGACCTGACGATTCGTGCAAAAGTTCGTATTAATGCCGATTAAATGTTAAATATTAGACACATGTGACGCACCTTCTGTCACACCTGTTAAGTTCTGTCGACCTATTTCGCACGAAATTATGCGGTCGACCATTAGTCGAAGCTAACTATGCCGTGACATGATGTTTCCTTTCTATGTTTATCATATAATCAGTCATATTGCAGCGTACTATTACGCATTCTTTTCTACGTTTGTATGATTTATGAATCAACATACCACGCGAATTAAATCATCGCATTGTGCTGTAATTTTATAGATGAATATTTGCTCGTACAGCTAGTGTATAAAAATTTAGCATATGTTTAGATATTTATTTACGGCGTTATTTAAAAATCTAAAGATGTTTTTTACTAGAACAGGAGTATAAGAAGGTAATTCGTGTTATGTAAATTCCGCATTGCGGTGATATCATAAAAGGATAATTTATTAAAAGCGCGTACGTTGCACCGCAATCGTGCGTACTTCCAAGTGTTCTGCTCCTGTTGCTCCTCGTGTCAATAGACTCGCATTTTACGATATCGTGACCAGTCGGACAAGTTTTTCCGACAGGAGACCGCAAGCACGATGTACAACTTAGTTTTATTCGATACTTTGCACGCAGGTGCATCGATGAAAAAATGTGCGTATTTATGCGCGAAGCTCGCGCTCTGGTTACAGCACAAAAAATTACTAGAAGATAATGTAATATATCTTAAATCTTTCGAAAGAAAGAGAGAGAGAGAGAGTGGGAGAGAAAGAGAAGAGTGCAGACAACTGTTGCTCAAAATTTTTCCAATTCGAGATTGGATTTCATTTTTGACTTAAAATTGATGATGCATAGATTATGAAGTTTTCGGTTGGATCGAGTTATTGTTTAATTTTCATTCTTATATACATAATAATGTTTTTAAACAATATATATATATATATATATATATATATATATATAATTTTTGATGTATTTATAAAATTCTTTAAAAAAATAATCTTAGAATTTTTCGATAAAAATATTTATAAAATATATATATAATTTTTTGTCTGTTTTATTTCTTGAATTACACAGCACAAAAAGATATAGAAAAAATATTTTGATGTATAAGGATTTACGATAATTTTCTAATATCTGTATTACACGTGATCGTGCGATTTAATGTGTTAACGATCGCATGTTTCAATCGGCAATTGCACGTTGCAACATAAAAGTAGCCTTCTGAGGAATTCGGTTGTGAATTACGGGTAATTTTTGAAAAAAGAGAAATATATTAACAAAGACATGCACCTGGGCGAGCACTCTAAGTAAATTACAATAATCGGTTTTTTCGAAGTCGTTTGGAAGCACGAAGAAAGAGAGCCGAATGGCTTAAGTCTTTTTGCTCAAATTTACCGTGTTGGACTGTGATTGGACCGGTTTTGAAAGACTTTTACCATTTAATTGAACGTAAAAATCTATAAAAAAACTATGTATAGTTAAAATATTATTACTATACAGTACAAGTAAATTATATAGACATTTATATAAATTATTTGTTTACAAATTAGAAACTGAATCGATCCCTTTCGACAGCTTAAACTTTTAAATTTAAGATTTGATAGATGCGCCATAATTTGCAGTTTATCGATTAGTTTGTGCGTTTTATTGGCATAGAAAATTTTGACGCCGCAAAAATGACAGAAAATCCTTAAATCTTTACGATGAAGAATGTCCGGTGAAATCTGAGATTAGTATGTCAATCATTTTTAAATGAGATGAGCATCTCTTCTAGTGTCTAAGCTTCAATTTTCCTAGCTTATACAATATTTATGTTCTTTTTAGAATATTTTTATTGTAACTTTTTGCAGGGAAAAAGACTTTATAATGAGAATCTCTGTTTTACAAAGTAGCACCTCTCTCGTTCTGTACAAGGCTTTACGTCCATTCCTTATGTACATTCCGTACAAGGCTTTACGTCCATTTCAGGATCATTACATTCATTTATTGTTCGTTTTTCTGTCTGACCATACATGATATTTTCCTATCGATTATTTTACCATCTTTCGTTATCAATCAATGCGTTGGTAATTTTTCTTTGCTCTTTATCTTCGATTTTCTGTTTTTACATAATTGAGGGATATCATGTTATAAAATCGCAAAATCATTGTTAAATTAATGATTGTTATTATACGTTAATTGTTGTTAAATGGCTTTTTAAGACGCTTTTTAAATTTTTTATTCTTGTCATGATTGATCATTTTTTATTTTTCGTTAGAATCTCATTTATTTATTTTACCATTATTTTTATCTTTTTAAGTCGTTCACCGCTGTGACGTCTATTCCCGTGTTACTTTGCCATGTTCGCATAAACGTAAATATAAAGTCATAGTAATCGGCGCTTTACAGGAGAGCCGCGCATATAAACCGGGAACTAACTCACGTTAACTTGCTTCACACGGTCGTGAAATACAATGCGATTCATAATTAATTCGTAGGCGTTTACCGACGAAAATACATACGGGTTTCATTCCCGGCATAAACGTAACTACGAAAGCTCGGTTGAAACGAAAAGTAGCGAGTTACACAAGGATATTTCTGTGCAACGTCTAGCGGTTAAACTGACATTTATGTATAATAGAATATGGGATATAGATCTAAAATCTTATTAAGCCATCTCTTTCTGTAATGCATACAATAATTATTCTATAATGATTAAACAATCATCAAAAAGAAAAATACATTGCTACGTAATAGAAGTTCTTTCAAATTACAAGTTGCAATCGTACGGAAGGCGATCTAACGAGATCCTTCATTCAATACGGCATCAGATTAATGTCCGATTTCTGCAAAAATTATTTTCTCCCTCTCATTATTTCGCATCTGCCGCATAAACCGCGAACCACAATCGAAAAGAGAGTTATTCCCGCGAATGAGAGGAGCGTCGCGTTCTTTCCCGTCGCGACGAATATCTCCGAGGCTTTCTTTCTTTCGCGGCGAATTCTGCCAACTTTCTTTTTCCGCAATGTTCATGTATTGTTATTTGCGTCGGCTGCGGTCGTTGCTGCGGGAACAAGTTTCATCGCGCTACGCTCGCAAAAAACGTCGCAATACGTCGCGATAATACGCTGACTCGGAGAAATCTATCTTGGCGGGAAAGAGGTGAGAAATGAGAGAGGAGAAAAAAATTAAGCAGCGTATGCACAAAGATTTTATATATTAAAATCTTATTGTATCGTCTCGGTGACTACGGAAAAAATTAAAAAGCAGGAATATTTTGCGAACTTAGTCCAGGGGTGCAGCCAGGTAGAGATGCTAGAGCAGGCAAGAAAACTGACAGAGAAATTTCGCTGCCCGATGGTAAAAAAAAGAGGATGATATTTATGAAAAAGTATTACTGTAAATAATACAATACTACAAACAACTTGCAAATATTTGAACAAAAATTAAAAGAATTATTTTTGCTTGATTTTTCAAGAGCAGGCAAAAAACGCTTTGCTCTTGCCTTTCCCTGGCTACGTCTCTGAGTCGGTCGATCCATAATCTTTATTTGTCAGTTCGTTTAAACAAACAGCTTTTACTATGCTATTTTATTTATATATTAGACAGTCAGCATGATATTCGTCAAACGGCTCTAACTCGGCGATCGACGCAATTTGCGTATTTTTCTTTCGGGATAGACGTCGCGGCGCTTCCGGTTTCTTCTCTTCAGCATCTCGGGCCGGGACCATGTCGTGAACGAAACATCAACGAAAATAACCGCGCGATAGCGTTTAAACTTTATGCCATAATTCATGACACCTCCCTCTTCCTTCATTTTTCATCTTTGTCTTTCAGCACCAAGAGATCTTAGGCGTCTCTTTCTTGCCAAGTTTATCCGCGCACAGCTATAGTCTTCCCTTCATTTTTTCAAGGAAATTGCGTACCGTTATCACTACCGTGATGTTTGTGGGAGAAAAAAAACTAAAAAGTTTTGCGTGTCTTGGATGCGAAAGAAATGAGTATAAGTACGTCGTTGCACGTCCACAAGTATGCTTTCGTGCATTGTTATACGAGACGATAAAGGTGTGTTACATTAGTACGCATAACACGCATACGCAGGGAGGGGAAGAAACGATCCTTGTCGTCCAGAAAATTTTTCCTTCGGAACCTGCAAGGAATGGTGTAACATTCATTACAGGTTTCAACATATGCAACTAATAAAGATTATAATAATAGTTTAAAATTCACATAAAACAAAATGTGTTCTTAAACAAGAAATCCTAATTTTTATTATTATTTTACGATATAATTACTAGATATTTTTTCATGCGTAAGCAAAAATATTTTATTAAAAATTATTTCTTTTATATTTCTTGAATATATCTTTTTCATTATTTCTTTCATGTTAATATTTATAAATGATTATATTATTAATTATTTAATATAATATGAACTTATAATTAATTTAAAATTTATTATATCTAACTTATAAGGAAAATAATATTTTTTTAATACAGATTTTTTTAAATAACAATTAATCTGTCACAATGTTAAAAACTATGCAAATTTTTCGATACATTTGATTGCGAAATTTTTTAATTTTGAATTCTAAAATATTTGGTCTAAATATTATACATTAAATTTGAGCAAAAAATATACATTCCGGTACCGGGAATCGAACCCGAGCCTCCTGGGTGAGAGCCAGGTATCCTAGCCACTAGACCATACCGGAGTATGGAGGCATGTTCAGTCGTGCATCTTGATGATTCTGTCAGAGAAGCTGTATTTCCCTGTCGCACATTCTCACTATTGGTACCCATTGCATTCGTAATCCGGTATGGTCTAGTGGCTAGGATACCTGGCTCTCACCCAGGAGGCTCGGGTTCGATTCCCGGTACCGGAATGCATTTTTTTTGCTCAGATTTACGGTAAGATTTATGCAGGGCAAAACAGTCTCATACATTTTATAAATTAAAAAAAAATATATTAGTTTGCATTACATTATGATATAATAGAGTTTTGAATAATGAATCAATAAAACAAATTTTAATTGCAAGTTGAAAACAATTGGAGAATAATTGCTGAATTATTAATAATATGCTTTCGTCAAGTGTGAAAAATTACTGCCTTCGATGCATCGTGATTTATATATTATATTCAGGTACAGTGATTTAGATCCATGAGTGTTAGAATCAGGTAGAGTTATCTAAAATTAGATCTATAAGAGTTATGAATAATGAATTAATAAAACAAATTTTTTAATTGCAGGTTGAAAATAGTTGGAAAATTAACATTAAGCTATTAATAATATATCGATGCTTTCGTCAAGTGTGAAAAATTATCATGTTCGATGCATCGTGATTGATGTATTATTTTCCAGGCAAGGTGATCTAAAATTAAATCCATGAAAATCCATAAATAATTAACCATAAATAACCATAAATAATCAATAAATCAAATTTTAATTGCAAATTAAAAATAGTTGGAAAATAACGTTAAGCTATTAATACATTGATGCTTTCGCTAAGTGTGAAAGATCATCACGTTTGACACATCGTGGTTAACATATTATATTCACGTAGCATGCTTATCTAAAATTAGATCCATGCATGACAATGGCCCAATTTTGATACACGCTATCGCGCAGCTACTTCGAAAGGCGTAAAACCGACGTGTTCTTGGTCAACGCGTCCCGTATCGCGTAAATGAAAATTCCTTTTGCGCATCGAGCCAAGGACAACAAACGGGGGAGGTCAACCAGTCGGCTTCTTTGCACATGGTCAATTGAAGATAGAAATGTTGTTCGTCATAAATTCCTCCGGTATATTACAAGCGTGGTAAAATCAGGAAAGCGTAAGTTTACGCTTGATTTAGTTTATCAGTGCAGCTTCCATTACGAAAAGCGATGTATCAACGTAATTGTCATCATCATTGCGCTTCATTTCCTGAATCTTTTGATGGTTTCCATTCTGTTAAAACACAATGCGACAATGCGACACAATGCGTCCTCGTGATAGATGTGGCTCTCAACTTTTTGCTCGTCGACATTTCACGATCAGCACTATTTTGTTCGATTGATGATCTTCGACAATTTAACGCTGGCTTTTCGACAATTTTCAATATTACTGAACAACAGAAAAAAGTGTAATATTGCTCATTATTTGATTTATAAAAAAACTTTCTTCTTATATCTACAGATTCTATATAAATCAGAAATTTAATAAATAAAAATACAAGTGTTGCTAATTAAATAATTTATTAAGCACAATTTAGAGTTGATTGCGTTTGAAAAAATGCAAATTATTAAATATCTAATTTATAAGTTTTCGGAGTGCAGGATACCGACGATTCTTTCATCGTTTACGAATTCAAAAACATAAATGTAGTCAAGTTACGTCTGGTTTCTTTCTCGTAATAAACATTACACCGAGTATGGTGGGACCTCGATGTCGGGAGAGAAATGTGACCAGAGTATTGTATCCGGAGTCTGAAAACCAAGACGATGGAACTGGCGCCAGGCCTGCTCTCAAGCACGTATTTGCTTCGACCACTTTTCTCGACTCCTCGAAATTAACATCGTTCACTCAATCGGACTAGCATTTAGCTATTATGGCACGGTTCTCTTTTTCTCAGCGCGTTTCTCTTTTCATATGGTTCTTTCATGATGATTTCATTTTTTTTTCGTAGCACTTCAAATAATATTTGCCTCCTCAGCCTCATCAATCGATCTTGATGTCTCATTTTTTCTAAAAGAAGTATCAAATTCATTTGAGAATTTTCAAAAGAATTGAAACTGTAATAAATTAACGTCCAATCAATTTTTTCAGCGATGCAGATCATAAAATTTTACACCGGATTTTTATATGTGTGTAAACTGATTTTTTCGATTTTCTCCGATAATTATACTTTACAGCTTCCTTGTTAATTTAGTTTTATTAATTCTTGCACATAATATGATTTCAATTCATTGCCATAGTTTAATACATGATAAAGAAAACTCTTTTAATAAGATTTTCATAGATAATATATATCGAAAAAAAAAAAAAATATATATATATATATATATATATATATATATATTAGCATGATATGAAACGCTTTATCATTGTTAAAAAAATATTCTTACATTTTTATTGTCGTTACTTTATTATAAAAAAGAGATTTATTTTTTTAAATAAATCATACAACATTGTAAATGATATCAAAATCTACTTTCCTAACAAAACAAAATATTGTTACAAATGAATATATTTATTGCAAATATTTACAGATGACTCTACTTTGAGATCCATCGAGTATGGCTTCTACAATGGGATTGCAGCAGCAGGCTGCATCCCAGGATACGGTGGATTTTGCTGGTTATTTGCAATCTACACAATGCCATCATGGAAATCAGGCGGAAGGACAGGTGCAAGGTTGTCAAAAATCACCGCATCGAGAGCATAACAGCAGCTTCACCAGCACGAAAGGCCTCCTCAATGGGCCCGGACAGAACAATTGTTTCCTCAACAGTGCCGTACAAGTAAGAAAACAATCACAGTAGAAATCTAAATATCACAAATCTTGATCTACCGTAATTAAAATATTCTATATTTTTTTATTAAATTATGTTTAAAAAGTATGAATATGTATCTCACGCGAGATACATATAGCTTGTGTATGTAATATTTCAATATTATCGGAAGAAACTTGAGAAGAAATTTAGAATATAACGTATATATGTGTCTATAAAATATAATTAATTTTTTTTAGAGTTTATTTTGAAAAGAATTTTTTTTCTTTCTCTCTAGCTTATATGTATTTTTAAAGATGAACAGGCGCCTTAACGTATGCAACCCGCTGCTCTAGCTTGTTAGTCCAATCTTCTTAGAACAGATAGGCGCGAGCACCTCTTAAAATTATATTGTTAACTAGTTCTATTATTAATTACAAATAATTCGATTAATCAAATAAAAGTCGATAAATCCAATTATCAATTAATATTTAAGTAGAAAAATAAAAAAATTAGGATAATATTTAATTATCTTTTATCGTGATGTTTTTAAATTTTTAGTGATAAAACAATGGCAAAAAATTATCTCAGATTTGCGAGTAATATAAATAATATTTAAGAGTAAAGTCAAATATATATATTTGTACAAATAAAATTATAAGAATCTGCGGTCTTTGACATTCGAGAGATGCCATTTTAGCAAGAGGTATTCCTGTTGAGGTATTCCTCGCTATTTTCTCCAAGACTTTTACGAGTCTCGTCGTCTCATTTATGAGCACGATTCATTACCAAATCTTTAAACTTGCTATCCTAAGGGGTCTTTGAAGCATGCATAAATATTCATGACTGTTAAGTGACAGGATATGTGGAATCTTTTTTTTTCAAACGATCAGACTGCTTTTAAGTTTTTCGTGAGCACATTGGCTTATCTTTCAGTTTAAACTTTTCGCTTCTTAATGGCACGTTTTGCAATGTGTATAATTACTTTATTCAGTTAAAAACATCGATCACGAGTTTCAATACTAAGAAGAAAAGATCATGTTTGTTTGTTTGGCGCGTTAAGAAGCGGTTGGAAGTACCGCGTTAAATATGATTTATTGATCGAACAAATTTGAAGAGACAATTTTTTCCAGAATTACAACGCTCGTGTTGTTACAAAGTACGATATTTACTTTTATATTCGTTACATCTATTTATGAGCCAAAGAGAAAAATATATTTAATTAGCTTTCTAAACAAATAAATAATTTCTTTTCATGTCCGATTAGAGCTTATTCTCGCATGTGGTATGAATATCATAAGATCGGTTTTATTTCGAAAAAAAACCACAAATGTTAATGCATCAATAAGAAAACTAGCGTTCTGTTAGCGAGGCCCGAGGTCGCTCAACACGAGGCACGCGTACCAATACCATGGCTTACGTGACACGTGATACAAGTGTTTTAAACGTAAATTGTGCACACGGCCAGGGTGTGGTAACTGCTTTGTCTCGTGTTACGAATAGAAAATAAACGACATCGATGCCCATCGGGGAATTCTCTTCGTGATCGTAGTAATAGTTTTACGATATTTGCGGTCGGGACGGTATTTGCTTTATTCATTAATTTCGCGATAATTGATTAATCGTAAAAAAATCGCGTCGTTATGATATTGTAATAATTGATAGACAAATACGGATTTATGCGATTTATAGGAATGCGGAGTAGAACTGTTTATTGAATAACTAGAACTAGATGATCCCCTTTTCGGACCGCAATTTTCCTCTACGCGATGTTGATAGACCATTTAATCGGCTTATAAAGTTCCGAAACAGATTAAGGGAAGCTGTAGGATTATGTGTATCCAGCGTACTCCATCGTTGGTGCGAGTTTACTGACGAAAGGACGATACGAAACTTGTTTCGCTGGATTATCGTGATGCTTGCTGTTCGCATAACGGCCTGCTGAGCGTTTTCGATTTCGTCTAACAATCTTTAAATACCGGCGTTATCATCTACGGGCTGACAGTCATGGTGAATAACGCTCGTGATAAAAATGCATATGTATCTGGCGTTCCCATCCTCTAACGACGTAGTCACCAGCACGAATAACGTCACGATAGCACGAAGCCTGCAAACGATAACGTCGTGTGAGCGAGTACTACATGCGTTCCCGACGTGTTTATTTTACGGCGATTACGTTAAACAAGCATTTCTTGATGAGTATTATTAATCTCTAAGAGATAATTAGACAATCAATGTATGCGTTTATTCTAAAACTCGTGTGATTATTCCATTCTTCCACTTTCTTTCAAAATTCTCTCGACGATTGTCGTATTTTTTAATTTTAATTGTCAATTGTGAAATCGACACTTTATTCGAAACAAAAATCTAACTTGAGATTTTGATTGACTCATATTATTCTTGCAACAATGGTAACTCTTCTTGGGCTGTTTCATCGAGGAATGTTGAATGTTTTGCGGTGCACGGTCATAAAAATCCTCGACCAATCGAAGAATCACCGAGCGAAGAAGCATTTCATCGTTGGACGATCACAATCGTCGAGACGCGCATAAACTATTGACGACCAGAGGCAAATCATAAGTTACGACATATCCGAGCATCTCTCACAATAGGTGTAAGATATCTCCCAAGTTCTTTACGGACCTCTAAGTTCAAGGTGACGCGATATTGATTTACGCTTCTTACTCATCCTTCATTTTGCGCGAATAGAATTTTACTTAATTGTATTTTCATCTCTTGTAATTTATTGTGAAATTTAAAGATATGATTATTAAAAAATCTTGTCCACGATTCTTGCACATAAATAGAACTTGCAAATAATTAGAAATCATTTTCACAGTTTTATCGAACTCGCTCGGAGATTCTTCGAATAATCGAGGACTTTTAAAAAATTTGGATACAATTTTTTTGTCATCGAAAGATGAGATGTCAAATTCATACAGATATGTATAATTCCGTGACGTAATGTTAAAATTGCAATAGTAAGCAAAATGACAGTTTGTTTGTTTGGGAGTTGTGAGAAAATATATTTCTCCTTGCTGTTAAATTACTCGCGTATGTCTTTCCGTTACAAAGACTAGAGAAAGAATTAGTATGAGAGAATAGTCCTGTTTTTTTAGCTGTTTATCTTGATTACCGTACGTAACGGTGTGGCGCAATGTCCAATGTTACTTTGTCACTAGTTTATATATTTTTGCATACTAATTTACTTTATTATTGCATTTACTAAAGAGTTTAAGAGATTTATTAAAGAAAAAAGTACTCTTATTTTATTTAAATTGAATATTTCGTTTTCTGCAAAAATAGTTGCTATCAACCATTCGTAAATAGGACGTATGTGTAAAATGAATGATTCACTGGGAGTTAATGCTAACTCTATATACATACGTGTGCAGTAGTAATGGCATATGTAATCTGTTATTATTTTCGTGGCATCTGTCATGAAAGGTAACAATTTGTCGATCCGAGCAAAACTTCCGGAAATTATTAAGCTCTTTTTGTATTTGGAGCTGCATTCAGCTATGCACGAATTGATTAATGCCATCTGTCTTAGTAAATGAAAAAATATATTTATCATTGTCGATTTTCAAACATTTTTAAATAACGCTATTTCTTCGTATTAAAAATTTTACTTTGGATTTGTATTTAATTAAAATTTGTACTTAATTAAAATTTAACAAACATCGAATATAAATAAATTTTTGTTTTATTAGCTGTGTCGATACGACGATTGTAAGCATATAACAGCAAGAAGCATTTATATCCTTTATCTTATTTATCTTTTTGAGATGATCCATGTGTCATTGTTCTCGCGTTCGTATTTCTTGCACCCACGTGCCAATTAAAGTTCAAGGTTTCTCTCGCGGTCATCTTTTATAAAGAGAAACGTAGCTTTGATATTCATCACACTGCCAATCATAAGTAATCGCAAAAAAAGCGACTTGGCATGCACGTTATTTATCGATTAGCATCTTTGCCGCGTTAATCCGGAAGAGCTACCCCCCTCACATCCGTACAAACGTTATCGTGTTAATTAATTCGTTCGGTTGAGCGAGTTTCCCATTCTAATTGGTTCAACACGGTGCCGTAAAAGGGTGGAAAGCAGTCCGCGTGATCCTAATGTACACACTTAATACGTTTTACTTCGCTCGCGTTACAATTGTTCCCATGGTGTAAAACACAATGGACTTTTCTCTTTTACTATTTGTCGCCGATTGTACAGCGTTTCTATTTTACGCACTTTTCGTATACACAATGATCCGATTTCTACATTATAATTAGATTTTTCAAGTTAAATCTACATGCAGCTTTTTCAAGCTTACATTACATTTCGATTCCCATATAGAGAACTTTAAGCTAGCGTGCATAAAGTATTGATAATTATATAAATGATGAGAATTTTAACAATCTTCCTTTATCAGCTTCTTGAAATTTATAGTAATATAATTATTGCATAATGATGCGAATTATTATAAATATGTATATTTAATTCCTCGAAAAAATATTTTATTTGTCTGAATGAAAAAAAGAATCATGATATGCTTTAAATAACATAATGATTGGCCACAAAAATCTATTTGAGGAGGTAAAAACGTTGTTACCCGAGATAAAAAAGGCGTATCTTCCAGCTGCCGGCACGTGATCGGTGTACACCTGACCCGATCTCTCTCTTCGGGATTTACCCTTCGCAGACTAAAGGTATGAGAACACTGACGCGTGCCATGCACGTCGGGGCACAGCTGTTTCGCGATCCACGTGATGCAGATGTACGTCTCGTGGTATCGAATTAAGAAGATTCGTCGGAGAGAACGATCAGTTGCAATTTAGCAAATCTTGATTATTTTGATTTATCAGGTTGATTTTACTTTCCTCAACCACATTGACGAGGTTTCTCTCCCATACTTCTTTGACAACGAGCAACAAGTTAAACACGATCGTGTCAACAAAGCAAGGCGTCGTAGAAGCAGGAGTGCCCCGAAGGTTCCGTGATGTCACAAGTCGCTGGCCCATGAATCCGGGACTCATTTCGG